ACGTCTCCTTGTTAGCACGGGGAAAATATTTTCATTCCTTTGCTTCCCACCAGAGTACGCGCAAATCCTTCCCTCCATTTGTAGTATCGTCTGCTGCAATGTTACACTATGTTGTTCTGTTGCTGCTTAGGTTGTGTTACGATTTATCAAAGCGATTCGACGAATCGTCATTCGTAATCCACCCCTATGACTGTCGACCAGACACCCATACAACATCAGATATAAAATACTAACAGTCTCACTCTTTTTTTTTTTTTCACATTCTTTTTGTCCTCTTTCTCTCACTCTTCTTTTACCTACGTTCGCCAGTATTACGCAAACGCGAATATCGTTTTCGAGCGAAACAACCCTCTTTTTTTCAACGAAAGAGAAAAAGGGAAAGAGAAAGAGAGGTTCTACCTTCGAATCGGAAGCATTATCGCCCCCTTCGATCGGCGTTATGCGCGTGGGGCCACACCTTCCGTAGACATATTCACGATTTAACGACCAAGCCGTGGCAACGTTGGCAGCAATAGCAGTAACAGGGAATGAGGGTTTGTTTCACCCTATATACCAACGTTACCTTCTCACTTCCGCTGAATTTTACGTTTTAGATACATTGTCCCATAGGATGTTCACCCTACTTCATCTATGAGTTATTTTGTTGTTGTTCCTCTGCGGGGCTACTATTGCAACCAATAACAACTGGAATGATTGAATTATTGAACGATTAAATTCACGGGGTTTCATTTTTGTCCATATTTGTTTTTATTTTTGAAAAGTTAAAAGTGATACGATAAAGAAATAGGATTTACTGTATTTGTATGGGTATATGCGTTGATTCTCTTTAGAAAATTTATTTCTTTAGAGATAACCTATGTTTTCAAAACAAAGTAACTCTCCATCTTTCTTTTATCTTTTATTTGAAAATATCCAAACCATCATCCCCTTTGTTTCTAGAGAACGTAAACGAAGCAATAACGAACATAACCTCATTCAAACCCTATGCATATATGCACGATAACGAAATTATAACGAACGTAAATGCATTTTGTTAGACTAACAAATCGTATTATCTCTTCGATAAATTTATTTTCTTTCAACAAGAGCTTTTACCAAATGTAGTAAACGTAGTAAACACAAAAAATATACTTAAAATTGTATATGCTGTATTTAAAAAAAAAAAAAAAAAGAAAAGAAAAAAAAAGAAAGGAAGAAAAAACCATCTGCACATTTTCTCATGGAATTATACTCTCATTTTCACCCTAATCGTTTCGAATCTATCAAGCGTGTTGTATTCTCAATGCTTGAAACGTTGATGGAAACAAACGTTAAAATGTAAGAGGAAGAGGGATGGGTGGTTATGAGGGTGGGGAAACTTGAGGGAACACCATGTTTTTTCATGTTCTTCATTATGATCGTCAAGGGTGTCTTCCATTATGAGAGACATCCATGTGTCGCAGAACCCACACACGAAGTATGTTGACATGCGTGCCCACATATTTATATACGTATGTATCTATGTGTGTGTGTGTATGTGCACGCGCGTATTTCCGGTTTTACCCGCTCCGTTTCGACGTTAAATCGAACTCTTTTATTTTCTTTCTTTTTTTTTCTTTCTTTTTATACCCTTTTATCTAGTATGATAAATATTTAATGGTTGCATGTACCTACGATTTTCCACGATACTTTTGATCGACGTAATATCGCAAATGGACTCGTCGTTTGCGTATGCGGTCATCGATTTTTCGCGGCTCTCTGCCACCATTACGCTAGAAAACTTTCGAGGTGTGTGTTCAGAAAAACGTTATTCGATCGACATTATCCATTTTGCGTTCATTGTACGTGTGTATACATATGAATATGTATAGTACATATATATATATATATATATATATGCAAGTGCACATGTATATGTAAACGTTCGATGTTACATCGATGCAAAATAAATTATTCGTCTTTTTTTTTGTTTGTTTTATTTTCCTTCTCCTTTGTGCTCTGTTTTTTTTATATCAATTTCCATGCACGGATGGAACCGATTTTTAATAATTGAAATTATACGAAAACTATTTTCTCTCTTCTTTTTTGAAAAATCCTTTTTAATATAAATGTGTTTTTGTTTTTATCCAAAAATTATATTTAATTTAAAGTAACTATGATATAATACTATTTTTACTGATATTATTGTACTGTACGAATTACACAGGTATATAAATATACTTATGTTAATAATGTAGTATAGTATAATATTAATACTGTACTAAATATACTTGAATTATTATTTCTGCAATTACTTTCTATTGGAAGATCTAATTGATTAGATATGTGCAAGTATCACGATATATGACGTAATAGGATTAAGTACTTCAAATTATCTTTCTATTGATTTCATATTTATCCATAAGCTTCTTCTCAAAGCTTTTAAGAGGATTTTTCTTTTCGAATTTTATTGTGTTAAAAGAAAAGAAAAATTAGGTTTCATTATCAAATAAAATTTTGAAAACATTCCTTTTATAGATGCTTACATTAATGAAATATATTTTTAAGAAAATCTTAATTTTTATCCTACTTTATCTATTTTTAACTAATCTTTAATTAGAAGTTATTGAATTATCCTGTATAATGAATGGGGAATAAATAACCGTGTTAATCCAAGTATAGTAGCATTTCTCATTTGCACATGCCAACAACTCCTAAACCATACTTTGCATAATACCGTCAAATTTCATTAGAGAATCCAATTATTCCATTCGACGACCCCCTTTTATCTTCCAGTGAACTTTGTGTTTTCTTACAACAAATACAAATAATAGTATTAGTCTGATCACATAAATTATTTATTGTAAAATTTGTTTAATATTTGTAAAATTATTTTTGTTAAAATTTTTTTAATAAATAGTGCACAACTTACTAATCAATGTAGAAACAAAAAAATCAAATTTCTTCATCAATCTATTAAAATATACATGCATATGTATTTGTGTATATCTACAATATAATACAATATAGCCTTCAGATTTCCTTCACGTTTTCATGAATTCATGTTCCGGCATGAAAGAACATTTGTCACCGTTCGTCTAACTTAATCGGTGTTGGATCACGTTTCTGACATATCCTCCATGTAAAATAAACCTTCATACTGACCATGTGCACGTATGTGTGTGTTTGTAATATATACACCTGCATAAACATAAGCATGAAAGCTAAGCAAATACTTTTAGGGTGACACGAAGGAAGAAGTTAGCTTTGTCCTGTTCGAGGAAAAAAGCCTATTCAAGGTCACCGTTGTCAAAGCAACACCACGGCTGAAAACGGATCAATGAGAAGTCGTAAATTGCACACGGTTCTCTTGTTACTTTGTTGTTATTGTATTTCAAGGAATAATTATTTGCATTTTTAGATAATTATGTTATTTTAAAATGACTAAACATTTGTTTGGTTTTCTTTTTTGCCTTTTGTAACAAATTTTCATTATTTGTTAATTAAAAAACTACGCGAATTTATATAAAATCATCTGAAAAATGTTAGCTCACCTAAGAATTTTTATTCCGCATTGTATTATTTCTTGTTAGTAAAAAATTATTTACGAGTTATGTTATTAATACATTTGTTACACAATTAAATCTACTATTTTATTTAATGAAAAATATAAAAGAGAAAAATGTAAGGAAAGATTAACGATATCGTGCGAATCGGTGAATTTTTCTTCGTACAAGCACGTCCATCGCAAAGAATTTCTGCCGTTCACCGCAAGTCAAGTGGGGTGGGAAAAAAGTCTGTAATGGTAACGTTAATTACACCGGATATCCTTTGTTTAAAGATTAATTAGGAATCGTTTTCTCTTCTTCTCTCTCTCTCTCTCTCTCTTTTCTCTCACATACATATTTCTCTCTCATTCGTAGTCACTCATTCTTCGAGAAACTAAAAACATCTGATTATATTAAATTTCTATCATAAATATCCAATAACAATCCATCTGATTGTATTATTTTACTCGTAAAAATGTAATCATTAAAAATAACTAATAAAATACAATTCTCAAACGAATCGTTAAAAAAAATGTAATTTGATAAATAACAGAATTATAGGTCGATTAGAAAAGATCTCTTCTTACCAATTGAATTTTTGTATTTTATTGTTTTTACACACATTTCTTTTTTCTTATTAATTTTGAATTCAACGATGAATGTAAAAAAAAACGTTGTTGAGTCGACAATTTATCGCGTCCGATAAAAGGACAAGCTGTGTCCGGTGGTTACGATTTCGAAATCTCGTAGGGAATAAAAGAAAGAGAGAAAGATATAAAAAGAACTTATGCTAAAAAGAATTCATGAAATTTTCGGCCTCGCATTGACTTTATTCTACATGAGAAATAATATTATGCGAGAAAATTGTGAGAACGCGATCGTCGGTTAGAGAACAACCAGCATTTCTGGTAGGTAATGTAACGTAATCGTTGCAAGAAGTTGCAGTAATTCAGAATTATTCTGTCATGATATGAACTAACGCCCATCTTCTGCTTTGTATAATCATCCTTGTCAGAAATGCATTGTGATTTAAAGAAAGGAAGGACGTCTGCACGGTTAGTTCTCTAGTGCTAGTAGTACTGGTAGAGGTGGTGATAGTTACATTACTCGGACCTAAACTACATTCGAATAGTAATCTAACTCGCTCGTTGAGAGGAAATGACTTTGTGACGAGAAAGTAATGGAAATGGATGAGAAGAAAAGAGAAAATATGTACTGTTTTTAATTCCGATAAAAACATGAATCTTGTTTCTGTAATTCCAACATACAGGGGAATCAATATTCCTTATCTATTAATCTATACAATTATACATATTTTAATATTGATTACAAAATATAAAGTACTGTTTCGCAATAAATAATTCTTTGAAAGGATTCCTATATCTGTATGATTATTTATATATTTACAATGGTTTGTAATCAAAGGAAATAATTAATGTAATATATTATGTTTCAATATTTGAATATTTCTAATCAATTTTAATTGGTTTACAGCAATTGAAAGATGAACTTGGCGAGGTCGTGGCTGAGATGGAGGCGATGGAGGGCGGAGGTCTCGTTGCAAACGAGACGAAACCGACGAACAAGGCAAAACAGACGTCGATCGGACGCAAAAAGTTCAACATGGACCCGAAGAAGGGCATCGAGTACCTGATCGAGCACAACCTGTTAGCACCAACACCAGAGGATGTTGCTCAGTTCCTTTACAAGGGCGAGGGCCTGAACAAGACAGCGATCGGCGATTATCTTGGAGAACGTCACGATTTCAACGAGCGCGTATTACGTGCTTTCGTCGAACTTCATGATTTTACCGATTTGATATTGGTCCAGGCATTAAGACAATTCCTCTGGTCCTTTCGTTTACCTGGCGAGGCACAAAAAATAGATCGGATGATGGAATGTTTCGCACAGAGATACTGTCAGCTAAATCCAAATATATTCACTAATACCGACACCTGTTACGTTCTCAGCTTCGCCATTATCATGTTGAACACGTCGCTTCATAATCCAAGCGTTAAGGATAAGCCCAGCGTAGAACAGTTTATATCCATGAATCGTGGTATCAACAATGGCGGCGATCTACCGCGAGAATTACTCGTGGTAAGTTTTTAACATTATTTAAGAATATTTTTTAATTCTTTTCAGAAAAGACTCGATCACAAGTTTTTATCTTTATTTATCATTTTTTTTTCCTTCTGTTATCTGCTCTAAAAGTGCTGGAAATTTTTATTATTTTCGTCGAAATGATTGTTTTGTTTTTTTTTGTTTTAACTTACCGACTAAATTTTCTCGGTATACTCGACACTCGTGCGCGCGCTTCCTCTTTTGAAAGGAAACCCTTGAAGAAAAAATCGAATGAATTAGAGAGGGCTGACCCTGCAATCCCTCGACCACTCGTTGGACAAGTGGGATCTTCATGGAAATCATGAAGATGACTCAATCGCATACATATCTGCCATCTCGTTCATCTGACCTCTTGTCCCAATTATAGGCAGTCTCTTTTAGGACATGCACGTTAAAATAGTTTTCTTGTTTAGTTTTTTTTTATCTGGCTTTTTTCTTCTTCACTCGTAAAAATCATGTATATCTGGTGAAGCCTAGCTATCGAGCCTAATGAAATTGATAGATGCCATAGAAAAGTACTCTTCACTCGTAGTAGCTCAAAGCTAATAGCATCGAAAGCTGTTTATCGTATTACTACTTAATACTTATCTGAAAATTTCGTTAAAAAAAGGAAAAAAACCGAAATTTTAAAACCACAAACGGAACTCTATCCTCTGGTCATAAAAATTGTAACTTTCCTCGAAACAAACAAATAATAATAGTAGTACACCGTTATCTTTTATCTCGAATCCACTCAAATATCCGAATACATGAATACGAAATATTTTTACATATAGGGACAGAGATAGATATACATAAAAAAAAAAAAAAAAGGAGTGAAGAATAGAAAAAACAAAATGTCAGCTAACGTAAAATAATTACGGACGAAACAATTTTTTGATTTACTATCGTATTCTTTAAAATTTGCATAGTTTGTTTTAATGTAGCTCCCTACAAATTTTGAATATTAATTTAACCGTAGAAATTGCAATAACAAAAAAACAAGGAGAAGAAATGAGAAAAAATAAACATAATTCTTATCCTCTCGGGATAATAAAATTCGAATCTTTCTTATTATCGAATGTAAAAGATTTTATATAGAACAAATGCACACGGTCGATTAGCTTTTGCAACGGGATATATAAAGCAGCAATTGGCAAGCTTATGCAAGTGTCTCGATGAAATGAACGAACGTCCGTACTGATACACGAGACTACAACCGACGCCATGATAGCTAAAAAGGAGTACTAGGGGTCAGGAGAAATGTCGCTATTCCGTCCGAATGATTCTTTAATGACAGATTTATGAGTATAGTAATAGCACCGAGCGCCATGGATATAACACGAGAAATTATTTCGATCGCCATTTTAAACGACGATATTATATATACTCGTTATTATAGCCCTCGGGAACAAATTCTCGGGCGCCATTGAAGATCTTTTATCAATTTAACGATGCTTTCACTTTTTCCTTGTAAAAAGAAAAAATAATCCAACCAATTCGACTTACTGGAATCTTTTTATTTATTAATCAACCAAAACTACCTGTTATCAGATATTTTTACCATTTTGTTTTCTTACCGTTATAAACTTGATCGATCAATTTATTAACAAAAAATAAAATTAAAAAAACGTATAAACGAGTTTGATAGCAAGATCAATAATGCAAGAATTCCACTTTCTTCAGAGTCTCTACGAAAGTATAAAAACGGAACCATTCAAGATCCCGGAAGACGATGGCAACGATTTGATGCACACCTTCTTTAACCCCGATAAGGAAGGCTGGCTTTGGAAGCAAGGTAATTTCCTGTCGACGTGTCTCGTCAACCCAGCACCACTATAGTCTCCTCCCAACACTTTTTCGTCCCCTTTCGACTTAGCGTCACTTCTAATAACACGTCCGATCTCTTCTTCGAATTCGAATCCATAAGAAAAGTTATACTGAGAAACGGTACTCGTCTTTCAAAAGGGACGAACGATGATATTAAAAAAAAGAAACTATATCTACTTCGAGTTACGAGCCATGAAATTTTTTACTTCACATTTCTAACTTAAATTTGGTTTTTTATTTTTTTCTTATCTATAAACCAAAATTATGTTAATTGACAATTGATTATCATATGAAAGGATTTCATGATTATGATTGATAATTAAATTTTGTATAATAATATTTTTGCTCTCGTGCACATTTATATGTTAGTTGGTGATTAAGAAAGTGATTTAAATTATTTGAGATATTAAGAAATAAATATTGTGTGTTTCATCTTATTTTTAACATTTGTAAGTTATATCACGTTTAAATAATGAAGGCTGAAATATCTTCAAATATTTCAAAACTTATTTTATAATCACCAACTCGTATATATGACTGTCGAACTAGATCAACAAATTTATAACATGATTTTTTAAATAAAAGTTTTCCTATTATTAATCATGATGATTGATAAAAAAGAAGAGAAAAGACTTGTCAATGAGGAATGTACATATAGTAGTTACTTGGTAATCCTATTGAAGCGCTTTTTAATGCTTGAAAAGAGAGGCCTGTTCTTATATTATTATCGCTTTGTCCCTCTGCTGCCCTGATGGAGACAGCAGGTAACTAACGCATTCGAGAGACATCATTGATAGTTATAACTTTAAACGTATTCAATGACTGTTTCAGGTGGACGTTATAAAAGCTGGAAAAGACGGTGGTTCATTCTTAACGACAATTGCCTATATTATTTTGAATATACGACGGACAAGGAACCACGCGGGATCATTCCGTTAGAAAACATACAAGTTAGAGAAGTACAAGATCGACACAAACCTCACTGCTTTGAACTTTATGCAGCTGGATCAGAATTTATTAAAGCATGTAAAACCGATAGCGAAGGAAAGGTTGTCGAAGGTACATAATTTATATATTTTTAACAATCTTAACCAACAGAGCCAATCGTTTAACATTCAATATATTGTCTGTTACATTCTAAACGGAAAGATCTACTTGATCAGTTAGCTAAGTGTTAACTTAAAAGTTCCAATCATTTAATTAATCTTTACTTTCAATTTGTATTTTAATAGGCAAGCACACGGTGTACAGAATGTCTGCAGCAACAGATGAGGAGAAAGATGAGTGGATCAAATGTGTACGGTAAGTAAAGTAAAAACGAATACATTGATCACTCTCGTTTCTTTGTATTCTCGTATTAACAAGATTTATTTCCCATTTTAGGCAAAGTATATCACACAATCCATTTTACGACATGCTAGCCGCAAGAAAGAAAAAGGCACAAAAGACAAACGTTTATTCGAAAAGTTAAATAATGCTTAGAGAATAGAGTTTCTAAAAAAAACTCGATTGACATGAAAGACTGTACTTGGATCTCAAAGATAACTTTGGAGAGATTCTAGAACACGATCAGAAAAATATCTGATCGTTTAGAAGCATCAGTAGGATGTATTACAACAGTGAACAAAAATAAAACAGACAAGGTACTGATACGTGTATATAAATACGTATATACACATATATACACAAATATATATATAAAGACACTGATCAAAATAGTAATTCGACGTATTTGAAAATGAAAATGAAAATGAAAAAAAAAAAAAACGATGTTTCTCCAAAAGGAAGAAAAGAAGAGGAATAGTTTGTCCGAAGATTGGTCGATTATCGGCGGTTCCTTACCATGAAGAGATTTTCCTAAAGTAGCCTATCATGCTGCTAGCAACGACAACGACAACGAACATCGACGTTGAAGTTAATTAAACCGAGAAATAAAAAGAGCTATGAATTACCTTATTGTATTCTTATACTGAGTTTCTTTATTTTCTTCTTTTTCATTATTTAAGGTGCAAAAGAAAAACTTCATATAAATGTTTGACTTTTTCTTATAAAATTCAGTTGAATACAAAAAGTATGTAAAAAGTAGCAATGGCTCTTGACTAAACAACTAATCTCGACAAAATCTAAAGTGGAAAAGAGTGAAATCTTATCTACTTTTCTGGCAGCTATAAGAAGCATTTATTATCATCTGAACAAGGCTCTAAACGATCGTTCAACAAGAGAATAAGAAAAAACGAAAAAAAGAGATATATGGATAAAAAGAAGTAAAGAAAGAAGGATGGATAAAGAGAGACTATGTAAAGGGTGTGAGATTATTTATCTTGTAAATGTCCTTCTTGTAATAATGTATCACGTGTGTCATCTCCATTGAGAGCTGTGAGAACTTTGATGATTTGTCATTAAAAAATTGTCTACAGAAGGATCAAGGCATATATATATATATATATATGCATATATATACGTGTATATGCGTATATATACGTAAAACAATAACAACAAGAACAGTATCCTTGTTGAAATTTGAAGAGAGACAAGAAATAAAAAAAAAAAATATATATATATATATATATATGTGTGTGTAGAAGTTTAAGGAGCGTGTATATCAATGTGATAGTTGTGTATTTATTTGAACAAATGTGAATAGATAAGAGAACTTTAGCTAGCTTTATAAGCGTTTCCAATGATGCGTCATGAAACTTTCCTAGAATCTATAGACTGTACATTATTGTACAGTTAATAAGTATGGCATAATGGCCAATTATGACTTGAAATTAGAATGTTCTTCATTTGGATATGAAATACAAAATTATATGAATATATATAAATAATATTCATAGATGTGTATGCATACATAAACGTTTATATGCATCTGTGGATATCATATTGAGTATGGAAGTTACAAAATATATATATAGCATTATGAAGTTATTTCCATACTTAATATTTAAGGTATATATATATAATGTATTGCAATATAGTAGTTATATATATATTATCGTTAAGTAGTAAATTCGATGCAAATTGAAAATTCAAAACGTCTGCATACCCCGTTTTTACAACAAATAAACAAACAAAAATAATAATAAGAAGAAAAAAAAGAAGATAGAACTTTTCTTGAAGATTAATATCATCACCATCGTCATCATTGTTATATTATCATTAATTATTATTTTTTTTTTATTATTATTATTACTATTATTATTATTATTATTATTCATAATGTGTGCGTAATTCGAATCTTCAATCATCATAATTATCATTCGAAAGTTTTCTAAATCAGAGTTTTGTGTAATTGACAAATCGCTTGTTTAATTGAAATCAAAGGAGGAGTAGAATGACATATCGTTTAAATTCGAAGAATTTAATTGAATGCGCAAATTGGAATTTATTTTGTATTCTTAACAAGTGAATCTATCGATTGGAGAATGCAGGTGCCTTTAAAATCTTTCCCCTCAAAGCTAGTCATATATAACTACAGCGATCAGCCATATTATAGAGAAACGACGATATTACACACACAACAACAAGAATAAATAAAAAAAAATTAGTAGTGAGAAAGAAAGAAAAAAAAAGAAAAAAGAGAGAGAGAGAGAGAAGTACCTTTTTTTGCTCTATACAAGGAAATATTGGACATCGAAGACGCCTTATTACAATACATTTAATTAATAAACGAAGAAATATAATTGCAGTAGAATGAAAAAAAAAAACAAACAAATAAAACAAAAAAAAGAAGAAGAAAAAGAAAAAGAGGAATATAAAGATTAATGATAAAATAGCTTATAAGTTTTTTAAAAATAATACACCACGTGATATATTATCACATGAATTAAACGTCCGCGCGTTTGTTATTATTACGTAGTAGCCAGATCTTAATTAAGTAGAGAGGGCGAGAGAGAGACCTTACGGTACAACAGGACTTCTCAAACTTTTCTATTTGGCGACCCTTTTTAACCAAGCAAATATTTTCGCGACCTTGGGTATAGACTCTATACTATTTCCATTTTTATTATAATAAACTCACGAACATATATGTATAACGTTGCTAAACTGGTTTTGAATTAATTTACAGTTATTTTGCGTCTAGGAATTTGTTACTTTTGTTGAAATCTCTTTGACCTCCAAATACAGTTGCGTAACCCCATATAATGGTCGTCGGAGTTGCATCAGACTTTGAGAAACTTTTGAATACAAGGTCTCGACCATCATATTGTTTAATAATTTTTCGATTGAAAAAAAATAAAAGATGATTTGTTTTTTCTTTAAAAATACTTGAATACAAATCAACGGAACATTTTATGACGTTACAAATTAATAATTAATATCGACATGTGTGTGTGCGTGTGTGTATGTGTGTGTGCGTGTGCGTGTAAATTGACCCGTCCTAAAATGTCGAATATACATATATTATTAGAAATATTGTTAGAAATATTGTTCGCGATAATTTTTCAACTTCATTTTTTTCTTTCTTTTTCGTAGGAAAAAATAACAAATATTTCTCTTTTACATCACAGCTGCCATCTTGTTTTTCTTCGCCTATTATGCGTATTTATAAATATATACATACACTTACATTACAAAACAAACGAAATACCGGTAACAATTATTAGGGTTAAGAAACAAAAAAACCAGCTAAACGAATAAATACACATTGAAAAAGTAAATTTATGATAAATATCGCGCGTTCATATGTAAAAAAAAGAAGACGCAATTGAAGAAATTTCGAACAATTTGACGCATTAATAGCTTATCCCAAATGAAATCTTATTACATACATTGCATCATATTTACTTCGATCCAACACGTCACAACTACCATCCTCCAACCCTTTTACATCTTCTCTCTCACTTTATGTACATGCACAATTAATCGAATGCATTAAACTTTCCCCTGTTCCGCTTTTTAATCCAATTTTTCAAGTCTTTCGTGTATTTCCTTACAAATTATTATATATATATATGTATAACAATCATTGTAAATATATTTTTTAATTAACTTTGATTCGAAATAAAATAAAAAAATCGTATATATATATATATATATATACACATGTATATACATATTTACATACGTGTATGTATATATGTCATGTAATTGCGATAATGTATTAAGTGAAAAAAAAAGAGCTGATTTCATGATTTATTTGATAATATATAAATATAATATTTAAATAAATCGTAAAATCAATTTGATCGTCAATAATTTGTAGCGACTTAATTTATTGGCATAATTATTGTTATACATATATCAGGGCTTATCAAATCGAAAACCTGAAACCTTAAACCTTTTAAAACATTTGGCGATAATAAATCACAAAAAACAATTTATTCTGAAATAATTCATTAGTATACATGTAAATATAATTTGACTATGTATAAATAAAACTATGTTAAAATTTCCACGATTCCCAAAATTTAGTTAGACGATCCTGTATGGGATCTGAACTTGACGTAACCCATACAAGATCGCAAATCACAATTTGAGAAGCTCTGACATATATCGATCGGATATTCATTTGTTATTACATTCGTATCTTTTTTCTTTGTATTTTCACTTATGTTTATTTTGTTATCTTTTTTCTTCGTAATATTTTTATGTAGTCTTTTTTATAAACAAACGAAATAATGATTTATAGAATTAAATAATTATCTAAGATTACTTTGCAGTTCCTCTTAACGTTTTCAGATAGATATTAAATTAGAATTAGGAATAAGATGTGTATGTAATAGCAAAGTGATCCATCGATTTTTAGAAAATATTGTATAAAAAAGAAGAACATATGCCTGTATCATTTAAATTACAGAGAATTTGTACATTTTCTTGTATATTATTATTTCTCCATTGTTATGTATGCAAAATGAAACAAGATAAGAAAAACAAATAATAATAATAATAATAATAATAATAATAATAAAGTATGTGCTGCATTTATATTAATTACTATCACTGTAAATTAAGGAAAAATTTTTTTCTTACTTAAAATATAGTACCACGCGCATAAGTAATTAACATGATTTTTTTCAATGAAAAATTTGGAGATTACCGGCACTTTAATTTCCTTTTCTCTGATGCAATGAAACAATAAACGTCTTACGGGATTTATCAAAAGTAAATAATTTTTTTATTCATCTTATTAGCAATCGTACAAATTATCAATTTTTGGTTAAATGTCTGTTGTATATAAAATAGTAAAAAAAACAATCTTGCAGATACAATAATCGAATTATTCTAATTTTAACCAGAAGCATGTGGACGTTTTGAATAACGTTTAATTATAGCATTCCATTCGACTGGATAATACTGTTGCATAAAATTTCGTAACTTTCCATAGTTTTGTCTTAATGACGGGCTACAATCGTGGCAGTTGTTGACCACCATTTTTGGAATCATAGCTAAAACAATGCCATTAACAATACGATATTAATTATGGTTTCTAACTTAAAACATTTTCTTTTTCAAAAAAACGTGCATACTTTTCATGTTCAATCCTAATTGATCGCACGGTGCTCGGTCTAACACACAATCAAGCTGTTTCTTCATAAAAGATCTATCCTTCAAACGACTCATATGTTGATTCATTGATTTATCTTTCTTTTCTTGTCTTTGGCACAATACAATTACAAGTATAATAATGAGAGTTAAAATAGCGACGGCTGTTCTCACTTTCATAATTGTGTATCAAGAATTAACTATTATTTCTTAATCGATATTATTTCGTATTATTTAACAACTATTCTTATCTTCAACTTTATATCTTCAACTATAAATTAGCAAATATCCTTGTTCTTCGTACTTTCAGATCATTGTTTATTTATTTCCCCTTCTTCTTATTTTTCTTCTTCTTCTGATTAAATTTTCAATACGTTTAAAAATTTGAATTTTTCACTACGATAATTGTTTAATAGTTTACGGTTTACGATGCCTTAATTTTTCAAAAAGTTATGATTTTGTTGATTAAATTACTGTTTTTTTACCGAGTTCTATTTGTTTAAAAAAATATATATGCAAAAATAAATTTTTCGACAATTTTATGATTGATATATAAATTTGAAGGTTTCGAATATTTTCATGAATTTAAAAAAAATGTTGCAATTACATTAATAGGATGAATGTAATTAATGTAATAATCAATATTTTTTATTTTTTATATTATTATTTTCATACTGCAAGTATTTGAAAAGTCCCAAAATGTTACGGAAACAAAGCGCCGGTGATGTCGTGCATAGTCTTTATAGGCGACCGTAGCGACATTTTTCTTTGTTGCGAACAAAGCGCCTTGTCATATTTTGTTTTTGTCAAGAATTAATCAAGGACTGATTCTTATATATTTAAAATATAATAAATATAAAATATATAATAAGAACATTTTGCATACTAAAGGAAAACTAAAGATGTCTACCTATGTCATAAAAGATCTTGGTACAGAAATAAAAGGTAAAATGACAATGACTTGAAAAAAATCAAGAATATAAAAACAATGTATTAAACTGTTTTTTTAAATATCTATATTATTCAATAATTACAGAATCTTATGAACCTTTACGACAACACAGATCCTATTATAATATGTAAGTTAAACGTATATTACATTAATTTTTAACGTCAAATATAAAAGTTTTATTCTTATATTTTGGAATTATTGTATGCAAATTGATCCATTTCATTAGCCTTATTACGTATCACAATATTGCAATCTTTTTTATTTTAAATGATTATAAATTATTATCAACACACTGCAAACACGTGTATTAATATTTCAACGCGATTATTTTATTTAAATTCAATTTAAATTTAAGTTACATTTATAATCTTTGAATTCGATTGTATTAATTATTGCTGATATTTCTATTTGACACGTTACCTGCCACGTGTCCCTTTTTCGGTACATACTGAAATTCATTTCTACGTAAAATGATATTTTTCTCATTAATAGATAAAGAGGTGAACAATGATCGTTGATATCACTTTGATTTAGTCTATTATGATGTTTGGAAGACTTTTCAAGTCGTGTATTGATATCTGTTTTCAATAGGACAAAACTGGAAATATTTGTTTTTACATCATTTATATTATCTACTTTATCTTTTGTGGGTATGGATATGTACTCGAGGATAGAAACAGATGGACAACAACTTATAAACTTCACTCGAATAAACTTACTGGAAAAATTACTGTCATGGTCAATGCATCAGAATAAGGACACAGATATAAATATAAGCATAGATTACAAACGGCAATCTAACAATTCCACAGAGTAAAGTTTAATTATTTTTAATTTTTTAATTATAATTAGGTATCATCATTATAGCAGTCAAATAATTTTGTTAATAAATTGCAGAAAATTTGTTGTATGCTATTACACAATACCTGAAAACTGGAGTACAAAATGGGATCTTTCTCCCATACAAATAGATCCATATATTTGTACCCATATTATAGTAGGATTTGCAAGTATCACAAATTGTAGTGTTGATATGGGTGTCGATGAGTGGGCTTATGCAGAAGTTGTAAATATCAAGAATGATAATCCAAGCTTAAAAGTTATGATTAGTATAGGTGGTGGTGGTGATGAAGCGAATTCTGGATTTTCAGATATGATTAAGAACCATGCAAATCGAAAACAGTAATGACATTATAATTATTTACAAAATTTTTTAAAGTAGTCAATTTCATTGATTTAAATTCAATATTTGTTGTTTTCTTATATATTTCAGATTTATAAGATCTGTGTTAAATGTAACAGAGAAATTGAACTTCGATGGATTAGATCTCGATTGGGAATTCCCAACGTGGTCGACTGGAAAAGAAAAAGAGAAAATACATTTTGCACAGTTAATTCAAGAAATAAGAAAGGAATTCGATCGCAGTAGGAGAAAATTAATTTTATCTGTAGCAGTGGGAGCTCCACAAGCAATCATAGATCAATGCTATATTGTTCCTAATATGGCGGAGTAAGCATAATCATTATAGATAATAACAACAATATAAATGTTAGTAATAATATATCTGTAGAGAGACATATGATATTATATAATGTTAACACGTAAAGGAATTGATTTCATATCGGTTTATTAAAGTAATTATTTTTACAGGCACGTTGACTTTATAAATCTTATGTCGTACGATTATCATTTTTTTGAGAAGTATTTTCCTGTAACTGACTTGAATGCTCCATTGTTTCCGAATAATATGGAATTGGGATATTTATCCAAACTTAATGTAAACTTCTCTGCACATTATTGGGTAACTAAAAAAATGCCAAGAGATAAAATTGTCGTCGGTATACCAATGTATGGTCATTCGTATAAATTAGATAATCCTCTAAATCACAAGTTACTAGCACCAGCTATAGGATTTGGACAATTAGGTTCTAAAGGTTTTGTATCATATTCAACTATTTGTCAATTTCTGGATAGCGGAGCAATTAGCGTGTTTGAAAATACAAGCAAAGTACCATATGCTTACAAAGATTATGAATGGATATCATACGATGATAATCATAGTATTTATTATAAAGTAAGCATATATTATATTATTTAATAATATCGATAACGAATAATTAATAATCGATATATATAGAAAGAAGTATATAATAATTTATTTTTTTTTTTAGACTAAGTGGATACTTGACAACAATTTTAAAGGTGCTATGGTATTTTCTCTTAACGTCGACGATTGGAAAAATGAATGTAATGCAAACGAAACCTTTTCATTGACGCGTGCTATAACAAAAATGTTAAGAGGAAAGTAGAACATAAGAAATTAAAAAATTAATTAGTTTCTACTCATGTGATTTGTATTATGATGTGATATTTAACTAAAAAGAGTAAAAAATATGCGTGAAGAATCGATGTAATCGAGACCATATAAGGTTTTACTATTTTCTACAAATTAACGGTATATTTGTTTTGTAATATTATAAAAGTTATTTAGATATATTATGATTTAAATATTGAATCACACAAAATCAAATAAAGAAATTTTCATGTTACAGCATATGCGAGTAATCTGTACGTACACTCTGTGAGAATTGTCGAGATATTCCTAAGTATCAATATTATTTACATAATGAAATGACCGACACTACCTCAAAACTGAAGTACAATCAAAGTATATAAAATATTAATATATACAGCTAATTAATATCAAAGAAGAAAAATATGTACAAAAACTAAAGCATGTAAATATTTAAAAATTATATAATATTGCTAAGAAGTATGGAATTTGATGTTAGCTGGTCAAGGTAGATATAAATAAACAATATTAAACTGACTAAATGCGATGAAATACTAACACTTAATTAATTATTTATTTAATCCTTTTACTATGGCACACTTATGGCTAGATATGATTGCTATGAACAATGTGTTACCGATTAGTCAATTCTGGCAACATACAACTGCATTTTCTGTTCCCTAAATTTTATTTTTTATAATAGCAACAATATTTATATATTTATTTCTTTTTAAAAATATATTGCTTTTCAATGTTTATAAAAGTCTAATATAATGTATCTAGTATGAACTTATATATACTTCCTATGGAACGAAATGAATAAATTATGCCAGTTCTAATAAAATATTAAATATAAATGAAATTGTTAAAATATAATTAATACAATTAGAAATTCTCGGAAAAAGAATAAAAACAAGGAATATATTATATTATTTTATCAGAATAAATGCAGATAGTTTTCGCTTCACAAATTTATAATGTTATTTATGTTGCTTATAAGTTAGAAAAAGTATATCACAATTTTTTACACGTTTCTAAAAACTATACAAAATTATTTATTGAAATTTCTTTTTAATATATATTTAAATAGCTATTATATAGGTAAAAAAACATAGTTAACTTTAATATAAATTATAACCTAATTAATAAGTTAATAAAGCGTATCAACGTCATCCAATCATCGTCGATAGATCGTTATCCAGTCTTGTTGCCGAAAAATGTTTTTTTGTACAGTTCTTTTTCTCAATCTTATATGCATGAGTTTACGCTTTTCAATTGGAGCAGAAGTGATATTTTTATATCTATTTATCAAGTGAAAGTTTTGAGGTTAAGAAAAATGTTGCGAATACTTAGTTCAAAGTCTTCACAATATTCTCAAATTTTTACAAAAAATCGTTTATGCAAAGTGATACAATCGAGAAAACTTAATTTATTGGAATATCAAAGCAAAGAACTGTTAAGGGACTGTGGTGTTTCTGTACAAAATTTTACTATCATTGATGATTTAAATAAAGCTAACTCTGCTCTGGAAAATTTATGTTAGTATAATAATATATGTTATTATTATATATATATTAATTATAGTATAATATACAAAATCTTTTATATTTGTATATTATAAATAATTATATAGTAATTAATTATATAATGGTAACAATTTCGGGTTTAATGAACTCGGTATACTATTTTTCTTTATCTTTCAGGTGCAGATGAGTATGTTATCAAAGCTCAAGTATTGGCAGGAGGACGTGGTAAAGGCTGGTTCGACAATGGTTTTAAAGGTGGTGTACATCTTAGAAAGGAGTAAGTTCAAATAGATGTGTAAAGGTATTTTATATGGGAGTATTTTATCACTAACATAAAATAACACTGTGTTATCTTTACTATATCCATTATGACGGCTAATTTAAATTATTTTTTGATATATAATAACACAGAGAAATAATTCAACTTTAATAGTAATGAATAAAACTTTCATTTTTAAACATTAAGTAGCAAAGGGAGATCTAGTGTCATATATTACATGCAACACAATGTATATTTAATAAAAAAAAATCCACAATAAACTTACTATTTACAAGGGATTAAAATAAAAATCTAAGTCTTGATTTATTACTTGAAGATTAGTTAGAATTTTTCATGAATCCAGTTGCGAATTTGTTTTCCCTTTTTCATTTCTTTTTTATATTCAATAAAATCTATAATAAATTATGATTCTTCTTATTTATGTGTGTGTGCACTTTTGACAGAATGGTCATAGCTAAAATTATGATTACAAATATAATAATAATAATTGTATATTTTTTATAAATCAAATATTTAAAATAATTATTATATAGAACAATAGTCGCTTTTGTTTAATTTTTTTATATTATTTTGAAATATTTTTTTTCAATAGTCCCAAAGCAGTATTAGATGTTGCAAAGAACATGTTAGGTCATCGACTGATAACTAAACAAACTTCAAAAGATGGCATTTTGGTACAAAAAATAATGATAGCTGAATCGGTTGACATTGTTTCTGAAAAATATGTTTGCATTCTAATGGATCGACAACATAACGGACCAGTATTGATTGCTTCTCCAGTGGGTGGTATGGATATTGAAACGGTTGCTAAAGAACAACCTGAATTGATAAAAACTGTGCCATTGGATATATATAATGGAATTAATGATACCATTGCCAAAGACATCAGTAATTTCTTAGGATTTAGTGATCCAGAGATACATAAAAAAACAATTTACGAACTTAAGAACTTATGGAAATTATTTGTTGACATTGATGCATTACAAGTTGAAATCAATCCATTGGTGTTGACCAAAGATAAACAAGTTGTTGCGGTAGACGCAAAAATTTCATTTGACGATAATGCTCAATTTAGACAGCAGGACCTTTTTGCTTTAGAAGATACAAATGAGAAAGATCCAAGAGAAGTGGATGCGTTACATTTTAATTTAAATTATATTGGAATGGATGGGAATATTGGATGTTTGGGTCGGTATTATATACAGTATTATATGCATGTTTTTATAGTGTATATATATATCGATCAGGTATAACAGGATAATTTTTATTATTTTCATTTTCAGTTAATGGAGCTGGCTTAGCTATGGCAACAATGGATATTATCCAATTAAATGGAGGAACTCCTGCTAATTTTTTGGATGTAGGCGGAAATGTAAAAGAGAGTCAAGTTTATCAAGCGTTTCGTATTCTAAGCGAAGGTATGCCTTATAAGATTCTTACTGTTTTATATACTGTGTTATACGTATTTTAATGATATAATTTATTCTTTAGATCCAAAAGTAAAAGCTATTCTAGTTAATGTATTTGGTGGAATCGTTAATTGTATTACGATAGCAAATGGAATTATAGCTGCTGCACAAAATTTAGGTCTTAAGATACCTCTTGTCGTTAGATTAGAAGGTAATTATTCTTCAATAATAGAAACAAGAACATTTATTGCAAAAAATGACCAAATCAAAGAACCAACGATTGTTACAATTCAATGGCTAATATATTTATGATAGAACGATTTCTTTTTTAAAATAAAAATGTTTGTCAAGCCAAGTTGATTAAAGAAATAAAAAATAAGTTGGTTTTGACTTGGTCATTGTTGCATTTTAAGTCTATGACATTGTTAATAATTTTAGTTGCAAGAATTATTTTGTTTACTTGTACATACAAGTAAGTTATATGTATATACGGTATATTTTGTTTCTTTAATTTAAAATTTTTTTTGCAGGTACTAATGTAAATGAAGCAAAAAAGATTCTTAAGGACTCTGGTTTGCCAATAATTACTGCTAATGACTTAGATGAAGCAGCAAGAAAAGCTGTTATGTCTATAAAAACATAAGTATATATTACTATTTTCTTACAACACTACATAGCCATATAGCAAAGATTGGAAAATCTGATTGTGATCTGTAATGTGAGATTTTAATATAAAAGTTTCATATAATATAACTTGCATCACATTTTCTTTCCTTTTCATAAATTCATTGTCTCGCTGCAAATAATTAAGTAAATATAATACTGATTTTTACAGGGGTTTTTTTTTAATAATAAATGATTCTTGTATATATATTATATCGCGTTTCGAATATAACTCTATAGATATATTTGGATATTTTGTTGTTGTTTAAAATGTATATACGTGTTCAAAGGAAAAAAAAAATTTTTGTGTGTAGCATTTTGAATTATAAACTTTATTTTCGTTTTAGTAATAATGGATTATCATTTTTGATCCATTAATATGCTCTATTATTATTTTTTTATGATATAGAATATATTAAGAAATGCATTTTCCATAATATTCCCATAAAATGCAACTTTCCATTTCTATCTATTAAAATTAATTAAATCCCTCCGTGTTATATAATTTATTGTTTATTACGGGACTAAAATTAAAGTCTGTGATTATCTTTTCTTTTACGTTACTCTTTCCACTTTCAACATATTTATAAAAGAACACACTTTACTCAACATATATCTATCTATTGTTTATATACTTTATGTAACGTTTTAGAAGTATTTATTTCCGACAAAAGTACCAGATAAGAGAGAGCTTATTCTTCATTGCTATTATTGAATGTGACTTTATCTAGAAATCGTTTGATTCAAAATAACATATTTTAATTAGCATTGATTGGTGTATTTTGTAAATATACCTAGTTTAAAATAGACAAAATATTTGTTTTATATGCTATCGAATTATAACATAAAATGTATGAACAATGGATGTACTACCATAATAATACTTTGTAAATAATTTGTATATATTCGTAATCTTTAATATTAAGTTTCAGATGAAAAAAAAGAAACTATACGATTTAATGATTTAAAATACAAAAATCACATCATATGAATAATATTAAAATTTAGCAAAGAAAATCATCCCAAAATAATTCTCTACATCTTAGTTTAATGTATGATCTAAAATTTGAACAATGTAGCAACATTATAATAATAATAATAATAATAATAATAATCGTAATAATAATAATAATAATAATAATAATAATAGTAATAATAATAATCAATACTGCATGAAAAATTGCTTGAAGATTGCACAGTGTATAAATAGTATGTATAGTTATTTATTTATCATGTATAAGTACCATAATACGAAGTATTAAATGTTACATACAAACTAAAATCGGCAGAATAAGAGATACGATTTCGAGCATTTTTCTAAGAGTAAGTGGCATGAGATTAAAATTTTTGTTTTAGCGACGTTAGATGTAAAATATAAAATATTGTGTGAAGGTAGGAAACGAACGACTCAAATATATCATTAATGTAGTGTTGCATATTCTCTAACATATTGGTAAAAGTTACCAAAATTTGATAACAAGTTGTTTTCTTAAATCTTCCTCTTCTTCTTGGTACAAATAATCTTGTATAATTAACTTAACCTAAACGAAATGTTACAATGAAAAAAACAAAGAAATAGTTTAATCATTTGATGCATTAACATTTTTTTTAGTAAGATAACTTTCATCAATTTTTCTCATATTCGCAGGAAATTACATTCCATTTTGACTTTCGTCCATTGTGTTGTATTATAATGGGGGACTAGAAATTATACATATGTTCCTTGCTTCGTCCAAAATAAGAAATAGTCTATTCTGTGTGTAAATATTTATACAGGATCTTGAATGTTTAATTAGAACTTAAAGATAGGAATCCACTAGATTCACGCAAGACTATATAACACCACGCATACATAACCATATGTATTATATATATCTAAATAATTAGATATATTTATATATATATTCTTTTTTCTTTCATACGTTCTACTTAAATGAATAGAAATCAATTCGTCCCATATAATTATTCTATTATGCTGTCAATTATAGTATTTAACGCAAATTAACAATTTTCGTTGAATACTTATATATTTTTTTTTTGTGTGCATCTTGGGAACAGGGTGATTTTCTAACTCACAAACGTATATTGAGACGTGATTACATGCAGAGCTGAAACTTTTTGTTGCTTACAAGTGGAAGCATGTCAGAAGCATAGTGACGTTCGCTCTTTCATATACGTCACAGTATAGTTGGTTTGTGTAGTGTGCGTGTAGGATAGTCGGCATGGTGTCTCCAAGTGAATTCCTAGCTTCGACTTCACGTACTTACCTAATATAAAACAAGAACACAACAAAGTTTTAGCATTTACTATACATTTCAAAATATTTAATAATACCCCAATAATTTTCAGATAGTTTCCTACCCTTTGATTTTCTCTACATACATTCTCAATCTATTTTTTCCCAAATATTTAGCTATTAACAATGTCAAATTGATAATGTTGATATTTCTTACTTTGTTTGTTAGGAGTATGCTTTACTATTTTTAAAGCAAATCTCGTATTCATCATAATGCAGTTGGTTTTTACAAATGGTACGGTAATTTCGTGTTCTGTATAGTATCATCAGTAAGGAAAAGGAGAAAAGAAGAAAGGAAAGATGTGAGAATAGAAATTAGCTTATCCACTCTTAAAGAGAAGAATGGCTACCTGACCCAGGTAGAAATATATAAAATGTCTTGTCTCATGCGTTACATAACTTCCAAAATTACGTCCTACGATGCAGTGCCACGTTGGATTATATTTTTTATCAAATTCTTTCTTGATAAATGCTGCTATATCCTGCAATCAAAAACAAAAATGAACTATTATTTGTATCTTATTAATTCTTATGCACAATATATATCTGCGAAATCTATTTTTCTGTCCAAAAATATAAAATAAATTAATTCATTATACATTTATATCATCTATTATTTTATAAAAAATACATATTCTTTAAAAATATGTGTGGTCTATGTATTATATGAATAGTATTGAAATTTTATATATTTTTAATTAATTAAATGATATCATAACTGATAATATTGAATAATGTATAAATGAATAAAGAATAATACCTATAACCTAAATAAAGTATGCATTTCTAATATCGTAAGTATTTTCCTTCATACTCTGACAAAAAATACAAAATAAATAAAAAATTAAAAAAAAGAGAAGAAATTTTCATAGATTTTTCATTCGTATTTCGAATTAAATGAAATTTAATATTAAATAATAATACACTTCTCTATATATAAATATACTTATTTATACATTTTATGAAATGTACAATGAAGCATATATATATGTAAGCATATGAATGTTTCTTGTTATTAGTTACATATTTTGGTACTATAATTAAAAGTCGCTTGATTTTTTATAGAAAACAATGCATAGGAATCTTATTTTGCATTTCGATCCTCCTTTACCTATATTTTTATACATATAATTGTTTTATAATATTCCTGAAAACCCTTAAAACTTAATGAAAAGCTTTAATTTGCTACTCTATAAGCTTATTCTTTGTTTTTTTATGTACAATGCAGTTCTTTCAATTCAGAAATAAGATTTTCAAATAGTTCAATAACTTTGCTTATGAATGTTAGACTTATATCATCCAATTAAATATCAGTTCTATTTTAACAATATACAAAATAAGATTCCCAGCCAGTTAATTTCGATGTTATATTTCTTTAAAATATTAGCAGAGTGAAAAAATTTGAAAAGTCCTGGAATATGATACATAGTTGCTCCACACATTAAATCATAGCACAAGATGTTAATTTAGATAGATAAGAAAACTAGATATTCTTAACATGTTAAATACTATACTGATCCTTACGGATCAACCTTAGTCTTTCCATCCAAACTGTGTCAGTCACCAATAGTCAACATTTTTATATTTTTCTACAACTAAAAGATCATCGTGGCCTAAACGGAAAACTCAGCAAAAGCAACTTAGCATCTAACCTTTTCAGTGTTGAACATTCTTAGCCAAAGCAGTTAATATTTTATTATTATAGTTACTCTCACCAAAATAACACAAAAAAGTTTCTACAAGCATTATTTTGGTGTGACAAGATTCAAAACAATAATCAATTAAAAAATCAACATTGCATTCTTTGCATTTATATCGACAAATATGCATATATGCACCCATAATCCATGCTGACAATTTTTATTAAACAAACACATGTTCATAGTACTCAAAAGGTTTTTTTAACGTGTTAATGGTAAATAATAAATGATATTTAATCGATAATTACCTTTTCTATGTTATACTTTTCCAGAGCTTGAGTCGCACAATCAACAGCATCTTGCTGCATCTCTTCAGACATATCCGCATTTTTGATAACAGCCTTTCTGTCTGACATTTTGTTTGTTCTATAAAATATAGGATTATTGAATCTATTGTCACATACATACATGTATATATATATATATATAGATATACATTTTTACATAATGTACGTAATAAATATTTGATAGAAATGTTCCAAACATTTATGTACCAAAAGTTACTCTTCAAAAATTCTATTAAAATAATAAATAGTAATCTAATAAACTATTAATAAAAAAAATTGAAACTTTAAATAGCTTATTGGTTTAGAATACATTAAATATTAGAGATACTTTGAATAAATATACTCAAATTCAAACATGTAAATAAATAAAACAGTGTATAAAATTGATCTATTAAACACACTTGAGAATAGAAAAATGATTAATTCTAACGACAGCATGTATATCAATCGATGGCATAACAAGGGGGGATTTTGAAATAATTTCACGAAAAAAAAGAAAAGACGATGTTATTAACTTGACTTAAATATATAAAGTAAAATATGATATTCCAACGAAATTAGGAGAATGAAACGCGGGAGAGGATATTGTTTTGTCGATATGGCTTATAATAAGTATAACAGTTTATCCGCACGCGATTGAAATTTCGATCGAAATCACTTGAAATATATTAACTTAACTTAGTTTTATAATATTCTATTCTATATAGATCTAAAATGTATTAATAAATTTCGTTGGATCGTAGAAAGAGAGAAAAAAACGAGAAGGGGGTCTTTTTGCTTGCTCGCTCTCGTTCACGGTTTTTAAAAAAGACGATACATTAGATAAAATAATAATAAATACCTTTTTTTATAAAAAACACACTTTCACAAAAAAACGCAGAGAAAGCGTTTAGAATTTTCTCTTTAAATCCTATAATAATATATACGCGGAATTCTTTATTATGGAATAATTTACTTAAAAATTTTTGCGCACTTAAAGCCGACTACGAAAATTACTCGACCGAGTTTCACACTGAAATGTCCGCAGATATCCTACGATTCTTATTGGCTCACGATTAGGGTCTTCTATCAGGGTCTTCTATCGTTCCAGAATGCCTTGCTTCTAGTATGCCGCGAAAAAACAAATTTTCATTTTACTTTTATCTCTTTACACTAATACTTTTTTTTTTATTTCTATCGATAATTAAAATTACTGACGTATATGCACTTTAAATGAAATATTTTTATTTTTAATAAACATATTGAATTTATTTTATATGACGATGGGTTGAAAATTTTTGAGCATCAATATAAACAAAATTTTCTTTTTTGTATAAAAATGAATTTCGAATAATCCTTACGTACTACTATAAATTGTATATTGTACATGTAATTGGCTCATGGTAAAGTGAGTTTGACTGAAAACAAAAATTATTTTTACGTTACGCTTAAAATTTTTCAATCAACCCATGTAATAATTAAATCTATTTTACATTATGCTCTATTATTATTATTTTTATTGTTTAGTAATTAATTCAAACGATTAAGTTAGTATTGTATAAAAGGTTTTTCATTCTTATCAAGTATCTTTTAATTGAATATATTTTAAATAATAATTACATTGTATAATTATAATTAAAATCATTTACCGCGTTATCGTAAAATCGTAAATAATTTCGACCGAAATATTAACTTAATGAATTGAAATTAATTTAAATCAAAATTGATCAAATCGAATGACATTTAAAAAAATTAAATTTATGGTGTTTCGTAATATCGAAAATGTCGACGTGTTGTTTAAAGTTGTGCAACTTTGCGTTCGATTTAAATTAGCTTCGATTATCGATCTAACGCATGTCAGTTTTTGATTTGAATTATACTTATTGAAACCTAACGCCCTGTTACAATCCTAATTTAATATTATGTACGTGTATAAGTGTTTGATTAATCGTTAATTTATCTGAAAACAAAAAGTTTACCTCGTTGAAATGAATTATGTGACTATTGTTTATAATATAAAAAGCTGTACAAGGGTTCAACAAACAATCTGATAATGAAGATTGAAAGTGCTAGCAATATAAAGCTATGAGAATTATTATTCTCATCATGTTTTACACTATGATTTATATAAAAAGAAATTCCGCACAAGGAGTGAATGTTACAAGAAACAACAAAAGTCGAATTATCATCTGTAATCAGGATATTTCTGTGGAACCAGTTTCGAGATCAGGTATGCATTCATCAATAATGAAACGTTTATTATAAAGCAATTTTATAAACATTAATGTTTATTAATTAAAAATAAGATATAAAAATTATATTTTTTCCATTTTTTTCTTAAAAAATAGACATATATTATTTTCATAATAAATGGTACAATTTATTGTAACAGTGCAAATGAACGATCCTAACAACAATTATTTTTTAGAGACATCAATGAACGATTCTACTCAAAAAATCAAAGTTACTCTTTTAAATGTAAATTGTATGGACAGTCACCCGTCTAATTTATGGAAGAGCATCAAATTTAATTTCATACAAATGAAGTTCCAAGCTATCGATTACAATCTTTTTAAGTTCGACGAATTCATCGTACATTACGAAGTTTATGCAATTGACAATCTTGACGTCAATCAAAATGGCGAATGCGTATATTTGCAGATTTATATTCCAGGATATATTTGTATTGACGTAGGATTACGCACAGTTTCTTATTCGATAAGTATAAAACGTAACATTGAAAAACAATTTCAATTAAAATATAATTTAAGTAAAAATAATTTGATGAGGAATTATAATGGAAACTATAATAATATACCAATACATATTCGATTAGGTAGAAATTTAAAGTCAGTTATAATGCCACGTAATATTAAACGTCAATTAGGGAATATCCAAGTTTATAAAATGCATCGTAATGAAGATTCAAAAAGGAAGAATAAATTTTTGGAAAAATCGTATTTTCGAAGAAAAAGAAACGTCGATCCACAATTTGACGATGAACGTTCGTTATTGTTAAGAAATTTAAAAAACAAAAATCAATATTATACTACAGTTAAAACTGTCAACAGCTATAACATAAGAAACGTCAAATCATCGAATTTACGAAAACTTCTTGAAAGAGAATTGAAAATGCAGGAGGAAGAAAAACGAAGGAAAGAAATTAAAAGAATGTACAATAATTCGAAGAGTCAGGAAAAATTGATTGAAAACAATATACCTGACTACGATTATTTCATTGATGAAAATTTCAAAAATAATGATAAAGGTAGCCATGATTATGATTACGAGGATACTAAAATAGATACTCATCATGATTATGATCATGATTACTCTAAATCGCATTTATCAAGTACTTTAGCAAGTGGAGTAACACAAGAAAGCACAGCAGACTATGATTATTTCATAGATGATGATTTAGAAAGTACTGATGAAGATGAGGACGATTACGAGGAACCTGAAGATATTACTTATCATTGGTATGATTATTATGAAAAGGATGTAACAACGTTCAGCACAGTATCAACAACAATCGATGTGGAAGAATTACAAACAGATATAATATTCACTCCAACGAGCGAAGAAATTGATGTTACTTCTTTTGTTACATTAGCACCGATTATTGAAACTTCAACATTAATTATGATTTCTGTAATCACAGAAACATCAACAATTGTAACAACAACATCTACTACCGAATCAACAACAAAAATTACACAAACGTTGTCACCTGCAATGACTACAGAATTTACGATCTTGACTATTATTTCATCTAGTACAACTTCAGAAAGTACAACGGAAGCAACAAGTATGACTACGGAGTATACGAATACTTCGATATCAACTACAGAAATTACAACTACAGAATTCTTACCTGTTGAAGAAAAGACTACGTGGATGGAAAATGTAACAGAACTATTATTACCAGAGGAAACAGGATTAATGACTACAGATTACTTAATGAAAACTTCTGTTACAATGCAACCAACGATGACTTCGAAAACCTCACAAATTACTTTAATTACTGAAAATGTAACTGTTACAGAGTTAATGATGGAAACAACAAAGATAGAAACAGGAATAAGCGAGATCATTACGACGACCACTTTTACGTCGATCGAATTAATTACATCGTCTTATACAACTGAAAAGACGATTGGTTCAGTTTATTTAGAAAGTACAACGTTGTCAATAAAAAAAGAAGAATGGCCTGAAACGTATACAACGGAAACAGTTCATACTACTTTTATTTTTACCCCTGAAATAATTATAAATATAACAATAGAAGAATCGTCAGCAGAAACATTGCCAACTTCAACTACATATAGTTTAATAGAATCTTCTTTAGAAACATCCACTGTTACAATAGAAAGTGAAACTTACATTTTCCCAACGACATTAGTAACATTTTCTACTTACTATATCGATAGGACATCTATATTAGAAACAACTGTTCCATTACCTTTTACGATGTCAACCGAGATGATTACATTGACAGAAGATATTTTTGAACCCACGAGCGTAACAACGCAATCAAGTTCATTGATTTTTACGAAAAGTACATCGACACCTTCCGTAATTATAAAAAGCACATACAGTTTTACAATTTCTTCTTTTGAAACATTTACTACTGAAACTTATATTTTCCCAACAACATTGACATTTACTGATCAAATATTAGAGAGTACTATCCCATTACCTTCAACAATTTTACCGGAAATTATTACACTAATGGAAGATATTGTTGAACCGACTAGCACAACAACATTTTTAACTTTAACAAAGTTTAGTAAATTTCTATTGTTATCTGAGATTGATACATCATCAACATCAATTTACTCGATAACAACATACACCAAATTGGAAGAAGAAACGAGCACAATGGTTGATATAATTTCACAATTTTTAACTTCGACTTTTTCAACTTTTCAAGAAATCACATTACCGGATTTTGAAATTACATCTACCAAGTTAGATGAGGAAACACTTGCATTCCTAACAACACCCTTAATTGATATATTTTTATCTGAAACTTATACGTCAACACCCATACCATTTGTACATACGACAATTCCTATGTCATTTGAAGCAACTACTACGGAAGACTTTGTTTTATTCTTAGCACGTAGCACTACCATTGATATGTTTACTACAATTGAATTTTCAAAAACCTTAAAAACAATGTCAGCAGAGAAAATGCAAATGGAAACGGATAGTTTGGAATATGAAGAATTTTATGATGAGGAATATGGCGAAGATTACAAACAAACGTACGAAGAAAACGAATATGAAGACGAGAACAAATCTATTACAAGCTGGTATGATTACGAAGAAGAGGAGGAAACAAAAAAGTTGTTTGATTTAAAAACTACTCAAAAATTTGAAACTACTGAGATTATAGAAGAAGAAATTACAAATGAAATCATTGAGAGGACAACTTTCCCTACAGTTTCATCGACTGCAAAATTCACCCCAACAGAAATGTATCCAACATTGTCCCAAATAATAACGATAACTATAATAGAAAAATACAAAACTTCAACGACTATTTCAACAATCAAAGATTTCGAAAAAACTTTGACAACTAAATTATTAACATCTCCAATTCCTACCATCGAAGAGTATACTTTAACTACAGAAAAAGTAATGACTTACACCACAGAACATTTAGAATGGTGGACTGATCAAAGTTTTCTTACAAAACATGATCACACGTTGAGTGAATTTGAAATTGATCCTAAAACCAAATTGGATGTTACCCTTCCGAAATTTATTTATTCGCCAGATGAAACAATAACTGGAAGTAGTGTGCATTTGGAGATAGAAGTGGCTACAGATAAATATTTCAAAGAAGAAACTCAATTGGGTTTTAGCGAAAGTGAAACTGAGGATTTTCAAATGTATTTTACAACAACTTCTGATTTCATAAAATTATTTACGACGGATGATTTATTAGACAATAAAATAAGAGGTGAGACAGGTAAAGAAGAAATGTTAAGAGATCTTATAAGTGAGATTAAAACATTGGAGAAACGTATGGAAGATATTACAAAGATGGAGGAAGAACAAGATAAAAGAGAGAAGGAATGGGAAGAGAAAAAACGAAGCAAAGATTTGAAGAGTATTGTTGATATTACTTATCCTGATATATTTCCTAAATCGATTATTGACGAAACCCAAACGATCGAAACATCATCAAGCGATAGTATCAATTATACTTTAACTGAACTGCCATATTCTAGTATGGAACCAACAACTGAATCTTCTTTAATGAACGAAGAATTCGAGAAAAAGATACAAAATTTAAGGGACGAACGAGAGAGAAAGCAAAAAGAATTGAAGGAATTAGAAAAACGTTTAAAAGAAAGAAAAGAAAAATTCGAAAGAGAGAAGGAAATGTTTGAAGACGATTTAGGAAGCGAATTTGACGAAAAAACGGATAAAGAAATGACTTCATTGTTCGAAACGAGTGAAGAAAAAAGCACCGTTCATTCGTTTGAGGAAGATGAAGATGAGGTTGAAGATATCACACGTAAATTGGCTTCACCATTGACGACATTGACGAACAATCTTTCATTTGAAAGTACTTTTAAGCCTCCTATTGAATCAGAAAAATTTACACCAGCACCACCGACCGAGAAAACAACCTCGATGTTACAAAATTTAAATAGAGTGACTATAATTCCAAAAAAATGTAACAAAAAGAAAAGGAAAAAAGTTAGAAAGGGAGAGGACTATACAGGGATGTGAATCATGATTTAACAGGTTTTCAAATAAATCGACTTTGAGTCGAAAGTTATGTGTCTTGAATATGCAACATGTTTACAAAAAAAATAACTTTCTTTTGCTTTCCCATATTTAGCGAGAGAAAAGAAAAGTCCGTAAATATGAGGATAAGTTAAAAAAAAAAAACTATAAGTAATGAAGTTAACGTGTGTAAATGATGTATAAATAAGAAATCTTGATAATTTTAAATAATGCAGATAATGTGAGAATGTGATGTGTAGATAGATAAATTAAAAAATAAATTAATATTAACACATTGCGTACGGCACTCTGCTCGCTCAATGCGCTTCCAGGGCCCGTACATTTTTGAGCGCTCCAAAAAAACTTTGTATAATGCATATATACACATTTTTAATTCACATTTATAAAGTATTTTTTAATATTACTATATATTTCTTATACATTTTTTTTTTTTTTTGGATTTGCTATCTCGTAACTTTGAGCTATGTGTTAAATATTGTTTGCTCTAAGAAAATAATAATAATAATAAGAATAATCGTATTAATGATTACAGACAGTGAATAGATGTTTTATAAACACGATGTACATACGCAATTAGATTTACATGTATAGATATATTCGTTGAGAAAATAAAATAGAATTTAATTGTGTATCAAATAAAAATAATTTAACATGATCAATAATAAAATGTGTTGCATCCTTAACCTGTTATTTAGTTATGATTAGTGAAAAAGAAGAAAGAGGGACATTTAAAAGCAGGTTCAGCACTGAACTGCGATCAGTTCTACGCATAGAACGAACGAGCCTATTACTTCTCCTAAGATTCGAGGTAAATAAAAGGTACGCTTTTTAAAGTTTTCATTTAACAAATTTTTAAACGCAGTTATAAATACGATAATTTAAAAGAAATTAATGCATTCTTAAAAATTATTTATTTATTTGTAGTGTTAGGTTTGTTTTTTAATTTTGGTTTTCCATAAGATTTTTTGTTAGTATAATAAAAGTAATATATATTATTAATTATAATAATAATATTTTTAAAGCATTATTTTTTAAATCAAAATTGTAGATAAAAAGTATCTTAAATTGGAATAAAATTTTAATTAATCATTGGTTTCTCTTAGTATATTAAAAGCATTACTGTTGCGCAGGCTGTTAAATATGGTATAATACAGGTAACGGTGCATTTTCATTTCTTCCGTATGCAACTTTCTCTTACAATACCTGTCTTTTACTTTCATTTTAAAATCCTGCATCGCGAATAAACCATTAACATGAGTATCATTCAATCGACCAACATAGTTCTAACATTTTTTTCATGCAGTTGTCATTAAATGTACATATTAAAAATAGTATAACTTCCGGAGTAAATTATATTAATCAATACGCAAACCTTTAATTTTTTCGAAACAACAGAAAAGGGACTTACACCACTTTTAAAATAATCGGTCCAAATTATAAAGTTATTTGGAAAATTTACAATTTACAAGTGACTTATATTTAATTATTTTTTAGAATGATTGTCACAGTCGGTTTATTTTTAATAGTAATAGTATTATTATTATACTGGGAATCACGCAAACCTGAAGGATATCCACCAGGTATGTCATTTTTATAAACATTTGCAATATTATCATCTTACAATTAGTTTGAGCACAGTTATATATAATATTTTCTTTTGCCTTAAATAATACAAAAAAAATTGTTCGATTCAAAAGGGACAGTACTTTAATTAATAAAAAAATTGACTAATCTTATTACATGCAGTTTTAATACGTTTTTTGTACAAATGATTGTTTTGAAAAAAGAATCAAGATAAACAAAATGTTCGAATTAAATGTGTGAGACACAGTTAGTAAATTTTAATTCAATTATTAAAAATAATGAACAGGTCCTAAATGGTGGCCAATTCTTGGTTGTGCAATGGAAATAGCACGATTACGAAAAGACACAGGATATTTATTTAAAACTTGTTCCGTTCTTTGTGAAAAATATGGACCAGTGATTGGTTTAAAAATTGGTAACGATCGCATAGTAATATTAAACGATTATAATAGCGCAAGCTCTATGCTTACAAATCCTGATTGCGAGGGTAGACCAACTGGTCCTATGTACAAAGTAAGAACTTGGGGTAAAAGGAGAGGTGAATTATTTATTTATTCGTAGAATAAACAAATCAATTAATTATTAATGCAATAATTTTTTATTGTTAAGTTAACATTTATTTTATCAGGTCTTATCTTAGTTGATGGTCAATTGTGGATAGAACAACGACGATTTATTCTTCGTCATTTGAGAGAAATTGGATATGGTCGAAATAGCATGACTGAAATTGTAGAGGATGAAGCTTTGAAATTAGTCGAACATTTGGAGAAATTGATTTATAAAGAAAATAATAATATTAATATTAATAACGATGACAATTTATATCAAATAATCGATAATGAAAGGAAAACGCTTAAATCTAACATAATGGACAAGTGTAATATAGATAAAAAATTACATAAGAGGAATAATTTTCAACAGGAATTAAATACTCAAATAAATGACTACAAATCGAATAATAAGTTAAATCCGAGGCAAATAATCATATCAATGAACGATGCCTTTGGCGTAACTGTCTTAAACACCTTATGGAGAATGATGGCTGGTAAAAGGTCACTTTTAAATATTTTACGATTAATAAATATTAAATTGTTTATTACTTAGACCAATACTTTCATAATCATCTCTCTCTCTCTCTCTCTCTCTCACACTCACACAGTTAATATATAAAATAATTATTTATAGTAGTTTTCTTTCTTTCTTTCTCTCGTGTTAAATAGATTCAATACCGATGACGAGACGTTGATGTATCTTCAAAAAATTTTTAATACACTTTTTAAAGAGATCGATATGATAGGTGCACCGTTCAGTCATTTTCCATTTTTAAGATTCATCGCACCTAAACTTTCTGGCTATCAGCCATTTGTAGAGGTGCACCAACAACTCTGGTTGTTCTTACGTGTGAGTATAAAATTATGAGGATTACGAAACAATGTTATCATTAACTATTTAAGCTAGAAAAATGTTTTTTTTTTTTTTTAATGTTAACAGATTCATAAATTTTTAAATTTGTTTCTTTTAGGATGAATTAAACAATTACAAGAATACCTTTAATCCGAACGCTCCACGAAATTTGATAGACGTTTACTTGTCAGCTCTAAACTCGAATAAGTGTAGTGAAACATTTTCAGGTATAATTTTTAATTGCATTATAATGCATTACACAATTATTATTATAATAAATTATTAATTAAGATCATATTCTTTACAGAATCTCAGCTGCTAGCTATTTGTGTCGACTTCTTTGTAGCCGGCTCTGAGACTACGTCGAAAACTCTAAGTTTTGGTTTCCTGTATTTGATACTTTTTCCTGATGTTCAAAGAAAGGCGCAAGAAGAAATCGATAGAGTTATCGGTTGTAAACGTTTACCAACTTTAGCTGATCGGTCAAAGTACGATTTCTATATATTGATTTTTATAATTTTAATATTTAAATTAAAATGTGTGTATATGATTTAATTAAAGGATGACGTATATAAACGCAATTGTTTTGGAATCATTGAGAATGTTTGCGGGAAGATCTTTGAATGTACCACACAGAGCATTAAAAAATACGTATATAATGGGACATAGAATTCCTAAGGTATGATATATATTTTATAAATTAAATCAAATCATTTTTTATCAAATAAAAAATAACTGCTTGCATAATTTACAGGATACAATGATTATTGTTAATTTTAATGGATTACTTATGAACAATTCTTGGAATGATCCGGAAGAATTCAGACCAGAAAGATTTATTGATAAAAATGGTAAAATTTCTGTACAAGATCAATATTTTCCATTCAGTATAGGTACGTTTATATAAAATACAATTAAAAATAATAAGAGAAATAATAAGAAAGATAAAATTGATAAATATATTTATACTCGTAACAGGTCGGCATCGCTGTATGGGAGAAACATTAGCAAGAAGTAATTTATTCATTGTAATAGCTTGTCTATTACAAAGATTTACGTTTTCTGTAGTACCTGGAGAACAAAAGCCATCCACATTAGATATTGTCGATGGTGCGACTGCTAGTCTAAAACCATTTAAAGTATTGGTTACTCCTAGAACATAATCCATAATTAAATCTTCTATAAAAATATAGAACGGGCCTTAATTAAATATTAGAAATGCAGTTATATCATTAAACTTATTAATGAAAATTTTGTGCCCATCATTTCATTAAACTGTTAAAATAAGTAAACATGAAATTGAACATTGTTTTTTTGTAAGAGTTTGTTACATTTATTATTTTATTTTAATTACAGTAGTAAAAAATAAAGTCTATTAACACGCGTTAAATTACTTATCTTTACTGATTTCTATTGGTAACAAATCTCCCCACTCGCTAGCTCTTGCACAACGATATGCATTTCTGTAAATATATCATTTAATTATTAAACATTATTGATGTATTTATTTTATCCAAGTTAAATAAAAAAGGAAATATATTATGTACTAACTTTCCATGTTTGTTTTTAGTGAAAATAATCTCTTCTAATTTCCCATTAGCTGTGCATGTACGACATATTACATGCTTGGATCGTTTCAATATTGGTCGTACTATACGCGGCCATTGTTTATCGCTATCTGATCGTACATCTAAAAAATAATATTTTGTCTATAACAATATATTGTCTATAAATAAAGAAGATATTTAATTATAATTAAATTTACCTTTCTTCAATACAACGTAAGAGAAACGGTTTGTTTTTAAACAAGAAGTTCCTGACACTGGTAATGTGAAATAAGAAATTTCAAAATTACAAGGAGTATTATCCGAGTGATATCTCGGACACTTCATATCATGAGGACACTATATATAAAACAAAATATTTCTAAAATATTAACTATATTAGAAAGAATCTCTTTAGTTTGAAAACTTAAAAATATAATGAGAATAAAATATATATTCTATAATAGTACTTACAGGTGCATAAACATGACCATTATTATTATCATTATTATTATCTGACTGCAGAACATTATAGAGTAAAATGTCGCGTGCTTCATTTACTGCCTGTAAAAAGACGATTGATATTAATTGTAAGAATAAAATGAATATTATTTCAATACATTTCTATAATACATACTGTAAATCCAGCATTTGTTCCATTTTCGATAATAACAAGATAATTTTGTGTTTTAGCCCAAAGCTTTTGTACAACATCGAAACGTTTCTTTATGTCAGGTAATTCCAATAAAGAGAATGAACTAACAACAATATCATAAAGGGGCTATAACCATAAAAATGTAATTAACAATTCATTTGGTATTTAAAATTGGGTATATATAAAATAGCATAATTATACCACAGGAGTCGCAGGAAAGAATTGTCTGTAAAACATGTTTTTGATAGGATGAGTATTGTACTTGTTTATTTCTGCCGACAACTCATTCATATGAGAAGAAGAATCTACACCAAAATATTCTATCAAAGAATCGGACCAAAGTTGTGACGATGCCCTAAATTAATAATATCTTTCATGATTATTTAATATTTATATATCTTTAATAAATATACAGTAAATTTAATATGTACCATATAACTGTTCCAATTCCAGATCCAAAATCAAATAAAGTTTTTGGTTTAAAATCGACATCCTTCATTTTTATTTGATTCAAAATATTATACACAACAGAATATTCAAATTGACTTCTACTAACTAAGTATAACAAACTAATTTGTCTGTTATAATTGAGAGAGATATTAGATGAATTATGTGAATTCTGCTTTTTATGACACTCTAATTCAGAATTAGTATTCGTATTATCATTAATATTAGTATCATCAACTATTTCATATAACTTTGAAGGATTCATAGAAACATATATTTTTTTTTCTTCATTCGCTACAACCGGTTGTTTGATTGTTATGTGTCTACCGAGTAAATGTTGCATTAATTTTTGTCCACCTTCCCTCAAATATTCTCTAGGAATATTGGAATCTTTATAGAATACAGACAAAAAGAAAATAATTAGTTCGCACAATATATATTACGTTATTATCATCATATTTAAATAACAATTACTACAAACCATCTAAAATTATTTTAATTGAATCCTTAATCCAATTGGGTACTTCAACGACTCGTGGCCTTATGATTCCAGGATGATGTCGATGCTTTAATAAGTTTTTATCTAGCAAATTATTTAAATCGTCTTCAAGTTTTACATCTGGCTTGGATGAAAACTATAAATATAATTATATTAAAATTATCTAATTATATGATAATTACTATACACAGTACAAGTAAATTTTGACACGTTACATACATTATGTTGTTCTTTTATAAACTATATATATTTTGTAACTTACAAATCGCACTGGTATACGTCGAAGACAATACATTTTTAACATCATATGATATTTTTTTCAAAGTTCATATCATCAGGGAAAGAAAATAATGTTTACTTTAACTTATAAAAAATATAAAACCATTTTCTGATCATGCTTTTGTAAGAAATTTTCTTAACAATTATTATCGTTTCATATATTGTTCATGATCTGTTTAATAATTTGTTCGTAACCACGTATTTCTTTATATTTAATATATTTATAAGCTATTATAAACTTTTATTTCACATCAAATTAATGTAAACAATTATTTAAATAATAGTATAAATATAAATTATGATTTTGTGTATTTGATTAAATTGAAACAAACTATATTATACGCGTAGTGTTGTTTCCCGATACTAATGTACTAAAATTTGAGAGTTATTTTATGCAATATTATATCAAATTTTAGTCAATAGATAGCGTGATGGCAACTGTTAGGTTAAAAACATAACCTATAAATGGTATTGATGGAAGTAATGAAAAGAAAACATAATCTATAAATATACACTGAACAATGTAATGAAAAGAGTATTTAATTATTAAAAATCTGAATATATATAATCACATTTAGTAAAAAATGGATCCAACAAAAAAAAGTGCAAAAGAAGAAAAAGATAATTCATTAATTCCTTCGTTTCATCCTAACGAAGCTTTCAAAAAATGCAATTTATCTTTCTCAATTAATTTTGACTTTGATTATACAAACAGCGATCATTCATCCGATTCCGAAACTGCTGACTTACAAATAGATATTTCGGAGATCGATAATGATGATCCATCCACTAAACATAAAAGAGAATCAATCAAAGAAATTTCGGTTCTTAATGAAATGGAAAAAGAAATTGAAAGACAGCTCGATGCTAAAGCAGCCAAGACTAATTTAACTGCCAAAAGTGTTAAAAATATATTAAAACGTGTTATTACAAACAATGAACAAGTAATGGCTGTAGTACAGAAACGTTTACACAATAACCAAGATGTTCTTTTTGAACCTAAACTCACTAGAGCTAAAGCAAAGTATGTCACTCTATTTTCATAAAATATATTTTATTTTAATAAACTACATTTTATTGTAATATACATAAATTTAATTGATGTTATAATAGAGAGTTAGGTGCTGTAGAACAAGTTAACATAATATGGAATACAAGTAGATCTGTTAAGAAACCACCGTTACAAGTATTAATAGATGAAGAATTTCCAGAAGACTCTTCCGATGAGGAATATAAGCCAGAGCAAGATAAACAAAGCGATGATGATAGAGAAATAGAAAATTTTGCCAATAGTGATCTAGAATCGCAACCATCTACTCCAATATGTCAGCTAGACTTAGCTTTAGAAAAACAACTTGAATCTTCTAATATTCAATATGATTTGGAAGGGATTTTTAAGATTCCTAGGTAAGACAATAATATTTTTATAGTTTTAGTTATCTTCCACTATAAAAATACTACATTTTCTAGCATACCTTGCATACGAACAGAAGAAGAAAGTATCGGTCATAGAACACGTTCTAAATATTGCTTGAGCAAAACACCATTGGAACAAATTGAACAAGCATTTGTACCACCTGACATTACAACAGATATGTATGAGTCTGATTATGATGAAGATTGGAGTAATTTTTTGAAAGAATTTATGCAACCTTTGGAACAAGAACATATTGCAGAAGATGATCCAGAAATAGATCCTGAATATAACATTTTAGAAGATGAAGAGACAGACTTATGTTAGTATCTAGAAATAAAAGAACGTTAATAATACATTTAATTAATATGAAATAGGTAATATTACTAACGTTTATATATTTTCAGTGGATAAAGAAGAATTAAGAGCCGACAAAGATGTGAAAATTACTTTAAAGGAATTATATGATTTGTTTGATTTTAAAAATACATCTCTCCAACAAGAGGAACATGTGCCTAAGAAAAAGAAATTAGATAATTTAGACACACCCGTTGAACATAATGCATTGGTAAAAAGATATAATACTGCTATAATTTAAAAAAAATTGACTTTTGAATTGCTGATTGATCTCTTAATTAAATTTTTTTTTTTTTTTTTTAATAGAATTGTTCCGAACCTCCAATATTAGTAAGCTACGAACAGCGCTATTTATTGGCTATTCAATTTCGACAACACGTTCAACTAATGGCACAACATTTTGCTATGACATACATGCATCCGAAGTTACATGATCTTTCAAAACCATGTAAAGACAATTTAATTAGTGTAAGGTATATAGGAAGATAAATGCAAGATACTAAAATTAATACAGAGATATTAGATTTTCAGAGAAATATTTTATTAGCTATATTATTTATTTTTTTTAGATACTTAATTACCAGTTCAAATTCTGCATTTAACGTAGAAAATATAACTGACGCTTTGAAATTAGTTTCCGATTGGGAAAAAAAATTTTGTGATGCAGAATTTCAAGAAAAATTTAAAAAATATGTAGAAGATGAAAATAACATGAAAAAAGTGCACTTAAGAAATAAATTTAATCCCGATTTAATCAAATTATTCGTCGAAAGTAAAGCTTTGATGTATCCGCAACTTTTACCAGATAGACCTTTTAAAAATGAATTAACTAAGAATACGAAGTTACATTTAACAAAACCTGAAGAAAGGTTAGACATTTAAAAAAATATTTTTAAAAATTATGTTCATACATTGTATTATCCTAATTAATATTTTTATTTTAGTTTAATCGCATTAGGTCTTGAACAATTCTTCCCGTTCGTGACATCTCTAAAGACGAAATTTAAGAGTGAAAAGTTTCAACTATTTGATGTAGCTCAACTTATTGCTGAATATTTAGTACCTGTTAGAGAATCAACAAAAATATTTTTCTATATTCAAAAACGCCGTTCTGCTAAAGATTCAAATCCAATAAAGGTAATATATTTCAGTTTATCTATTTTTTTATTTATAAACAATGCTTTTAATAGAATTTTATTACAGTATTATTTTGAAAAGGGTAAAGCTCCTAAAATAATACATTACATAACATTAGAATGTGATCTCAAAGCACCGATGCATCAGCCACTACATCTTTTACCTGAAAAATGGCAGAATTATGTTATCAATGTAAATAAATACAAAATGTTAATACATTTAGTAAAAAATATAAGCACGAATTAAATCAATTTGATGATGTTTTCTAGGCTAATGTAAACATGGATTTATTGAAACATACTAACAAATCGAATTCATTTAACGATAAGTCTACGATAAAAAGTTTAATTCATGAGAATTTTAATATATATCCTTGTGTTTCGAGAAATCATCCACTACGAAATCCAGTCGTAAACGTTTTGCCTAAAATAATGCCAAATTTAAAACCTTTGTCAAATAATATAACAACAGATAATGTATTAAATACTCAAGGAAATAGTAATTTTCGTATTATGGGATCAAAATTATTAAATAAAAGTACAGAAAATACAGGCAATCCTACAATTGCAAATAAAGAAGAAGAACAAAATGAATCAATTGATTCATCAAATGTAGAAATCAAAACTACAAGAGTAACAAAAAAATCAAGCGAAGTATTATTGCAATCTCCACAAATAAGAAAAACAACTCCACGTTTAGCCAAAACGAAGAGTGCACAAAATATGAAATTAATGGCTCAAGGATTAGGATCCAAAAATGTATCCAATTACGGTAACGCGAAATCTCGAGGAAAGGGAGACGCAGACACAAATTTGAAGACTTCTTCTACATTGACGAAAGTTGTAAGTTACATACAATTTATTATTTAAAATAAAAAATAAATTATATACATAATCATCAATTGCAGGACAATGAGGATGAAATTGCAGAACTTATGTTAGCGAGCACTACTATTAAAAAGGATAATAGGAAAAAGGCTAAACAGGCTAGAGAATTAGAAAATATAAAAAGATTATTGGAAGCAGAAAATATTTTGAATAAAGGAGAAAAAGAAGAAAGTATGTTAAAGTATAATAATATTACTTTGTGAACTATATTATAGAAAAGATTAAAAATTTATTATTTTCTTTTCTGTTTTCATATAGAATTCGCAGTATCATATCTTCAGAAATTACACACGACATTGGAATCTAACAATTTAGAACTTTTACGAACCGTGATTAAAATAATTTTAGATTATGATGACAAAATTGAAAATCTCGACGAATTGGAACATGAATTATCTCTTTCAAAAAGTTCTGAATCCTCTGAAATGCAAGAAATGATAGAGAAAAATAAGATAACCAGAGATACATTAGCCATAAATTTATATAAAAACATTTACGATAAATTACGAGGTTTCCCAGAATTGTGTTCGGATTTACTATTATTTTTGAAACCACATCAAGCTGCGTTAATAGATAAATCGATAGAGTACATAATGTTACAAAAAATGAGTGAATTTTTAAATGTCATACAAATTTATTTTACCAAGCAACCATCCCGGGTTGCAAAAATAATGCAGGCAATTACGCAACTTTCATCTGATCCTAATATAACGTTAGAAAATGTTCATAATGTTATGACTCCTCTTCTCAAAGGACATCCTTTAGTTATGGATCTATTTTTACAGACGTTACCTAGCGGTAAACCTCCGGAAAGGTAATTACTCTTAACATTTGTATTAAATTTTCATTATAAACTTATTTAATGAAATGCATTTTTTTACGCTGTTTTAAAGTTTATTTGCAGAAGACATGTTCGAAAATTTAACTTGTCCATTGGGTCCTCACGATAAAAATAAAGTATATGCGGATGATGCTCCAGAGTTATACGAGAACATAGAATTACCGATATCAGTTTCTCAGGAAGATCCCTACGGTGGAGATAATTGTAAATGTGATTGTCATAATACGGATGACTCGACTAACAAAAATATTAGCGAACATTGTATATCTTGTGGAACAAGGGTATATATATTTACAATATATTAATAAAAATGCCCGCTTATATAGTTACATTTTATTATATTACGTTTTATTATATTACATTTTACTATAGACATATCTTTTCTTTATAGTTTCTCAATGGAAGAATATATCTTCAAACTTCGGAAGGTTTACGTCCTGCAAAGATAACATTTCCAGGAGCGGATAACGAGAAATTAGAAAATATTGCAAGAGTGTCTTTAAAAGTGGCTGATAAATTTACAGCACCTGTTGTGTCTAAGCAACGTAGAAAATCTTCAAAAGCTGATATTGGTGTTGAAGAGTCGTGTCAGAAACAATGTCTTTCCAAGAATTCTCCTGTGAAAGAGAATGATGATAATGAAAGGATCATATCGAGACCGAAAAGAGGTACAAGATCTCCACCCAAATCGGGAGAGTCAAAAAAATCGTTGAAAAAAGTAACATTCACCGATGAAGTGGCATCTAATAAAAAGGCATGCTCTCCACAGTCTATAAATAAACGTGAAAAGAAGGTGGATCGAAAGACACGACTGGAACAAAATACTTTCGACAATTCGTGTTCGGAAAGTGAATATTCCTCTAAATGCGTTGTGATTGAAAATATATCTGACAAAGAAATATCTCAAAAAGATAAAACGTTTATGAATAAGAATATGGAACAGGATATGAGTAAGTGTCATTGATTTTATTTTTAAGCCATATATTCGTGTATAAGAGCACGTAATCAATCAAAAATATAATTTTTACAGAAAATGGTATAAGGTCGCTTAGTCCAGAGAAAGACTTGATAAATAACAGCAGAAGTTCAGATAAAGTGGATGTTTCAAGTGATTGTGACTTGGATACAAATTTTGAAGTGGAATTTGCTAATGATAGACCGTGGACACGACAAGAAGACATGATTCTTCTTTTAAGTATTAAAGAGGAGTATTCAGAGAGTACATTCCTGAAAATTAGCCAAACATTGGGTAATCGTACCATTGAACAGGTATAGACATAGATAATTATTATTCTTTTCTTTAGCTTACATAAATATTGATATTATCTTATTTTAGGTGAAAGAAAGAAGCAAAACATTGCTATCTTTGCTAGAAAAAATGGCATAATTATTAGTCGAATAAATTCATGGATTGTGATATTTATACATAACTATATATAAAATATTTATCATTGTAAAAAGGTTTAAAAAAAATATTATTTATATTACTGTAGTGTATTGTATTTATAGAAAATGTTTATTTAATATGATTATTATGTATGTGACTTTATTTTTATTTTCTTGTATAATTATTTAAAAATTTAATTATACTTCCATTCTTTTCCAAACACAAATACGCGAGATAAGTACAAATATAAAACTGTTACTAAGAAATAGGACTAAATTACAACATACAAAATATTGTTTACAAGGTTATTCAATGTTTTCATATAAGATGTCTGATACTGTATAATGGGAGAAAACTTGCTATTACATACACACATATGTATATCTAATAATAATAATAATAAGAATAATAATACAATTTTAAAAAAAATTGATTTACGATAAAAACTTAATTACATTCCTGTAATTAATGAAATAAAGTTTCTTAACATTTTAAAAATTCTAAGAGTTTTGTTCATGTTTTTTTATTTATTTTGTTAAAAAACAAAATGTTAAATGAAAATATTAAAGTAGATTACTTTATCACTTTCTTTCGCTAGAAATATATTAGTTTTGTTAACGTACGAAACGAATAATCATAGTATTGCTAAAGGGATTTTTATGAATCAGTATATCTTAAGTATACAAAATAATAACTACCAAATCATTGTTTTATAACAATAAAATTATATCAAGCGATGATCAAAAATGTTTTGTACAAGATTTAATCATTTTTAGTTCATAGTACAAATTATAATCTATTTGATTTATTTCTAAAAACATTATTTACACGGATATTATTTATCGTCCTAAATCCAGTATAAATTGTTTTATCAATTAATGTAATGTATATCTTGCAAATATTTAAATCCTCCGTTTATTTCGTACTTCGGCTACATATTTCAGATCACCACATCTCATTGTATTCATAATCATGACATTTTAGATTGGAATATAAAAATGTAAGCGAGTAAAATGTAATTCTAGTAAGAAAATGGAAAAAGAAATAGTAGCAGTAGTAGCAGTAGTAGTAAAAGTAGTAATAATAATAATAATAATAATAACAATAATAATAATAACAATCATAATAATAATAATAATAACAATAATAATAATAATCATAATAAGCACATCATGGAGATATTTACAAGCTATAAATTATATTATTACATAAATAATATAATTCGGATAATAAATAATTATTAGACGGGAAATAAAAACTTTACTATTTCGATATTATAAATCAGTCTAATATTGTCATCTATGAATATGGTGAGCACATGTGCAAATTATGCAATATCATTGCATACAGACGCGTTATATTGTAACCTAAATTACAGTTATTCTGCATTGTACCTTTGATGTTAATATATGAGAGGAATTACTAAGTAAAATGAAAAAACTTAGAATACTTCCATGCTGTCCACATCTATACCAATGTCAAGAAAATCTTCTGTGTAATCTTGAACTTGTCTTGATTCAGAGTGATGTTCAGTGTGATCTGGATCATCTGTAACGGGACTAGGGGGAGGATTAGTTACTGTACGATCGGAGTCTAAAGGCATTCTGTCCATTCCTACACCGCGTCTTAATCTTGCCTCTTCTGCAATCTGTCTGGTTGAAAGTTCTGCTCTTGTTAATAAAGTTGGAAGATCCTTATCAGAACCATCTAAAGATATATGAAATATACAATTACTAAACTATATTAAATTATAAATATACATATATACAAATTATTAAATGGATAACTTCTTTATATACTTAAATTTAAAACGTACTTTCAAGACTTCTCATAAGTTCCTGTGTTTTTTTTCTATTCTTATCGGCTTCTATATTTTTATTATTTTCTTCCGCATTCTTTTTCTTATTGAAATAAAATATTTCTCTGATTTTTTCTTGTGGAAGATGTTCGTCATTTTTTACAAGCCACAAGTATACACCACCTGCAGTTCTTCTACGAGATCCGTTCATTATTAACAAACCACCGCCTTCTTCGATTTGTTTGGTCTTCTGAAAAAAGTCTATTGCTTTTTCTTTTCCAATTATGCTCACTATTTTGCCTATAAGAGAAAAAAGTAATCAAATATTTAAGATATACATTATGCTTTATAAAAAAAAAGTTATTGAAGAATATAAATTTAAAATTACTTATAAGAGAATCCTGTTTTTCGCGAAGTTTATTTGTAATATCGGTGGCGACTTCTGAATCTGTTGAATCTATAGTTGTACTTAAATCTGCTATAATACGTACAGATCCCTTCTGATTTTCAACTTCCATTGAATTTCTCCTTTTTCCTAATCTAAGTTTCACATTTTGTCTATCAGAATTAGTTCTTTTATTGGTTAATCTCTGTCCAGAATATCTTTCATCATCTGAACTATTATTGTTATGAGATTCATTGGCATTAGATGGAAATCTAAGAGTAAAATTATAACTTTCAACATTACGTTGACAAAGTTTCTTTGTTACACCGCATGAGACTAAGTCTTCCGTCAATGATTCTTCTTGAATCTGCGTACACCATACTTTGTATTTATCGTTATTTGGTCCCCAATTATTAGACAAGCTTTTTGTTTTTTTTATTTTTAACTTAGGTTTTTTGTTTCTAGTATGTGCTGAATCAGAATCCGAATCACTTTCTGTATCATCGGTATCATCTGATTCATCACTGTATCCCAGTTTCGCCTGCTCTTCCTTCGCTTGTACAATATGAGGCCTTTGTAATACATTATATCCTTCGAAGACATCACTTGGCTATAAACAAAACAAAAATATTTAATTAACAGTATACTTATCTTTATAATGCAATTTTATTATTGAATTTAAATAGAGAGATGTTTATTTTAAAAGATATTGTATCTATAAATCTGAAATACTTGAAAAAGTATAACAATTCGAAATATTTTTTATAAATTTGTTAAAAGTAACAGTCTTGTTGAAAATATATCGTATTATTAATAGATTAATGTAATCATTTATTAAATACAAAACAAGAAGAATCATTTTATGATGAAAAAATATTTCTAATCGTATACTTTGTATGCTAGGTTAAGTTAGGCTTTTATCAAAAGCAAGATAGTTTATTTTTTACCTCTTCATCAACAACTTCTCCATCTTCGAGGTCTACAGGCTCAGCTTCCATATTTTAACTTGGAAAATGATCTCTTTTCTAACGAAAGAAAAAATTTGTAATGAGATTTATTTGTTCCACTTATTTTAGCACAACATAACACCTCAAACACTCTTTTTACTTTACATACTACCCGAGCTTGTTCTTTTGTTCATTCTTATGACTAAAATAACTTTTGCTCTAGTACCCTTACGGTGATTGGTTGAATGTTCTAGCTTTCAACCAATAAAATTCTGCTAAAACAAGATTGTTCTCAACGTATTTTAAAAAGAATGCTCGTTCAATCGCGCAATATCAATTATAATAATAATTTTCTAAAAAATATTTCTAAATTCAAAAGAATAAAAGGTTATAAAAGAAAAAATTATGTATTTTTTTTATTAATTATAATTTTGCATATAAAAATTAATATGTTGTATATTTTATCTAAGAAATCCAACTATAGGTCTCGTTGGTCCAAGTTCTGCTTCCTTTTTTAATGCACTCATAAGCTCATCATTTAATTTAAGCGCAACAGTTTTACCCATCTGAAAATGGTTATAAACAAATTTTCATTAAACACATTTGATATTTTTGAATGTAATATTTATCTTCACTATAAAATATATCATAAAAAAATAATATTGCGCTCATTTAAATATTAATATAACATGTCAGAAATACCTCGAGCATTTTAAATAATGTCGTATCCTGCATACTGCCATATCCTATTTTGACAATTGATGTAATATTACCATTTGGCATTATAGATACAATTGTACTCACTGGACTACACATTTCTTCTTCTGAAGTAGGATCTATTACACAATTTTCTCCTATCTAAAATAAAATATAATATACATTTCTTCTCATTACTGATAGATAATAACTATTAATTTAGATTCCATTCATTTTTAGCAATATCTGTGTAGGCTTACTTTACACAAAGTGACAATAATTGGGTAGTTAGTAATATTTAATTTAATACAATCAAAAGGATCATCCGATATTTGTACTTCGGCTTCTCCACCATCGAAAGTTGCAGCAGTTACCCTTGGTATTTCTGTATTGTATAAAGCAGCTTTAACAGCTAAACCTACAGCATCAAAAAGATTCCCACCACATTGTAATATCTACAGACATATTCAAATGTTTTTTAATGTATCATGAATTTAATTAGATTTATATGTATATTTTTATACGTAAACGCAAATATTTCTTACCAAAATATCAACAAACATTTTCCAACATTTTTTACTTGGTAAAATACACAAATCTTTTAAATTAAATGCAGCCGGTGTCTGATAAGATAAAGATAAAATGTTACTTATTTCTGTTGCCAAATCATCTCCACCTTTACCCTCAAACTCTGGCGTAGCATTTGCAGAACTAGAAAAATAAATAATATATAAAATTTATATGAATACCGTATGTAAACAACACACATACCAATCTACAAAGAATTCTAATTTTCCTTCATTTGGTCGATCAATATACGGTGAATCTATTTCTACTTTAACGCTGACAAGAATATCGGTATTTCCTATTCGCAATCTCGAGGAACCATGTGTTTGTTCCATCAAATTAGTTTCGATTTCAAATGTTCGATATTCACATCTTTTTCTTCCATCGTTTCTAAGATCTGCCTAAATTTTTCAAGGAAAATATATTAGTCAATTTTGTAATTTAAAAATAAATTCTTTCCCTTATGATAAATAACATACATATATTTTTTACTTACATCTACTCCATGAAGAATAAACGTTTTTTCTCCTAAACTCAATGGAATTGTAGTCATTTTGATAGATTAGATTAAAATAATATTTAATTTAGATGCAATATATAGTATATATACATATATATTTATATACAATTATAAAAATTTTACTTATTTGTATTTTGCATCTCCAATTGAGGTTAGAGTACTATGCCTTTACTTTGGAAGAAAATAGTGATGATGTCTTTAGGATGGTTCATATATATTTAAAATGTACTACTTTTGAATAAATATTTTTGTATGTATTTTAATATCCTTTTTACTATTAAAGTTATAATTTAATAAATTTATTATATACATTATTTATTATATATATATACAAATATATTAAACGTTATAAATAATAAAGTTTAAAATTTTTTATTATTAATATTTTTTAACATATTAAAATATGAAAATAAATTTTTAATATTTATATTAATATATTATTTGTATATATATATTTTTATAATCATACATACCTGGCAATTGACTTCAATTTATGAATGGTAAATAAAAAAAAATAATGAGAGCCCGTACGTATGAGAGAGAGAGAGAGAGAGAGAGAGAGAGAGATACCGCGTTTTATGCATGCGCAGCGATAATTGTTGATGAAGATTTCATTTGTTTGAAAACTTATTTACAGAAATATTGCAAAATGGTCTTATTAAGTAATATTTTTAAGGTATTTTAATCTAGTTTTTGTTTTTCTTTGACATAATTTAAATGACATTAATATTAAATGTATAGTATTTTAGATTACGTCATTTTTAATATACTTTTAAGTTGCATTAAAATAAGTAATATTATTAACAAATTAATTTAGACTAGATGGATAAAATCCTCACAAACTTCTGTCTTAAGATATCAATATTTCTCTACATCAAGATATCTTACTTCTACTTTGATAAAGAATACAAAAAGTTTTCAAAAATTTAAGTTAAAACAGGCGAGAATGCAGGTATATTATTTTCATTTATAATCTTTTAATACTCTCTTACTAATGTTTCTTCATAAACTCTTACAAAAGCATTTTACTTTACAGCGCAATGATGGAGTTCCTGTATTCTTAAAAGCTGGTTTACGTGATAAGATTTTATTTAATTTAACATTAGGTTTAGTTTTATTTGAAACTATTGAAAGTATTCGGACAATATGTGAACTCATTAAAAATACATAAATTCGTTTTTGGTAATATTAAATATTAACATATAAATAAGTTACCTGAATATTTGTTAAAGTAATACGTTTGAATGTTACGTAGCTAATAAAATAGACGAATTACATTATTAAACTTTTTACTGCTGAAAAACATTAATACACAATATATATTACATGGATATAGTTATTTTCTTAGATTTAGTATCGTATGATCTTCGGAAGAAATTTTTAAGGCACATGGTTGTTCTGCGAATACCAATATGGATATAATTGTATATTAATATCAATTAGTAAGAGCAGAGGATGGTATTAGAATATATAATTATATTATTTGTTTTTTATGCATTAAATTAAATTATATAAACAATATAGAACAGATAAAAGATTTCTAGAAATTTTAAAAACAACGTTTAAATGCAAGTAGTAAAAAATTATAAAATTTCATTTGTTGCAATTTAAAGTTAATAGCATAAGAGTTTGATAGAGTAATTGGATAAAATGTTTGTACCATAAACAGTCTGACATAATAGTTTTATTGTACAGCTCGTTCTTCTAACAAAATTTATGCAAATTGAAGCAGATTTTAATTTATCCGTAACGATTTTGGCATTTATTAATACATTAGGATATGTTGTAATTTATCGTTTATGGATTTAAGGGGTAAACGATGAATGATCGTCCATATTGGTAAAGCAGAAATATCAACTAAAACATACAAGTTTTTTCATATCACAGGAAACATATTTACATTATTCTTAAGATATTTCTTGTTTTAAAGAAGATGATTTGTGACATAAGGTTCAACTTCTTCAACTACTTTTTTCATTATTTGTTTTACTTGTATCTTTTTTAGAGATTTGCTCTTGACTAATATCGATAGCTATGATAGACTTTGGAGAAAGTACAGTAGACTCTCTGTCGATGTTTACAGCATGATCATTTTTGTTAGAAATTTTATTTAAATTTAAGTTTATCCTAGAGTTGCTTATTGTTGAAATATCTATTGCTGCATCTTGATGTGCTTTCAATTTTATTCTTTCATCTTTGGGCTGCTTTTTATCTTTTTCTGTGATTTGGTTAAGACTTACTTTTTTTATAGTATTTATGTCTGGTTGCGGGGTTGTTTCTGGTATATTAGTTCGGGTCTGAATTGATTTTTTATTTTCTAAACTTAAAGTAGCAGGGATCGTTTTAGTTTTCTTTCTATGTTGAATTAAATTTTTCAAAGCTTCACTAAAGTCCATTAACGTTTCTGATATTGGCCTATCCATATATTTACCAGCTATTTCGTCAAATTTATCATCCTCTTCAGAAATTAACTCATTTTTAAGATGTTTAAATTGATCTATTATTTCTTTTAAACTTTCTTTAGCGTCTTTAACGATTTTTAAGTTGTGATTATGTGCAGGATAAATATTTAATGGTTCTGTATCTTTGTTTTCTATCGTTTTATCTATTTCGTTAGAATATTTATTATTATTTAAATGAGTCCATTGCTGTTGAGAATTGGAATCTTCATACGTAAAATCTTTTTCAAATTCTTTAAATTGATCTATAATGTTTTTAATACTCTCTTTCACATTGATCGTAACTTCTTTATTTTTCCCTTGATTTACAATTTGTTGTTTCTCCTTTACTTCTTGTTTCGTTAAAATTTTTGGTTTTATTTTTGACTCCACTTTCGTTTTCACTAATTTTTTAGTCTTTATATTAAGTTTATTCGCAGAGTCTACATTTTCTTTTTCCTTTGTTATTTCTTTCTTAACATTATTTATCAGAATTTTTTCTTGAATTCTCTTTTTTACAGTTTCTTTGATGTCACTGGTATTTTCAGAAGCACCTATGGCATCACTTTTAGATTTTAATTTAGTCGTCGTTGTTGATACTTTCTCATAATTAACACTCTTTTCTACTATTTTTGGATAAGTAATATCAGAGTTTTCTTTTATATTAATTTTGACTGCAGATATGATTTCAGATTCATTTTCTTGACTTATATCCGTATCTTTAGAAATATTATCTAACGAATCTGCGTATGTTTCGACAAGTTGTTTATTCTCATCTGGTAATATATCCGATATATCTTCAGATAATATTTCTTTTTGTTCGATAGAATCAATTTCAGTTTTAATAAAAGATTTTTCATTCGAAGATAATGGTTTTCCAATTTCTTCCAAAGATTCAACGATGTCGTCGAGTATCGGCTCCATAATTTCTAAAATATCATTCGTTACATTTGGATTTGTATCTGACATTGTAGTATTATTTTGAGATAAATTATCCGTGGAATACTTGGCAACTTTAGCTTTATTTGGATCATATTTGATATTAGCTTTTCTCTTTATAATGAATATAGTTGGTTTTGTTTTTATTCTAATTGGTGGTAAAATATTATAATTTAGTGTTATATGCGAAAAGCCATCGATCGAATCTAAAATTTCATGAGTTTTTAAATAAGGTTTTATATTAGGTGAATATTTGCTTTTGGCTTCTATTAATAAATGCGAATATTGTAACATTTCTGGGTCAGTAAAAGTTATGTCTTCTCGTTTTGAATAGCTGCAAGATTATTATTTCATTAATAATTAGGATATATTTTAAGAATATCATATGTTAGTTTGATATTATTATTTCATTACTTACATCCAAGATGAATTAGTTTGGGTAAATCTTGATACTCCAGTTTGCGCTGCTAAATTATCAATATGTACGTACACTGATTCAGTAGAGTTTTGTTCGAGTCTATGCAATCTAGCGATAGCCAAACCTCCTGGATAATTGCAACTAGCTACGCATAAGAGAAACATAGAGAATATAGTATTTAAAACCAAATGTCCGACAACAATTAGCGACAGTATTCCGTTCCATGGCGATTTTCCTCTATTTTCCCATCTGTTAATTATACAATTAATGTTGTTAGTAAATCGTTAATATAATTTTATTATTAACGATCAAAATACTTACATTCTGTGACATGCAGCTGCTGTTGCAACATTTAGTAAGGGGAAGACATATATTATAAATCTTAATTCCTTATGTGGTAAAAATGAAAATAGTACCACAAATATTACAGCAGGTACAGTAAATGCACGTACACGCGCGTCCCATATAATTCCCAGAGGAATTAAAACATATGAAACAGCTAAACCGCGTGGGAGTGCTGAGTAAAAGTACCAAAAAAATGGAGAAGTCTATTTGTATATGTCAAGGCAACATTAATTATACTTTAGTTATTAATTTAAGGTTATAAAGAAAAATAGAGTTGTTTTATAAAAAATTTTAAGGATACACCCCATTCTCCGCTTTTATTGAGAATGGTATTAAAATAAAATACTTCTCCTTCCGGCCATAATAAACGTTTCCAAAAAATAGTGTCTATTCCAACAGTAAGCGCTAGGAATAATATACCAGCAGGTATAGCAATTTTGAGTAATCTAAAAATGAAACATTCTATTAGTCTTTGTAGTATTGATATTTTATGGAAAAAAAAAAGAAAGTAAGTAAGAGGATGAGATAGAAATTTTGGCAAAAACATTTTCACTTTAAGTTTATAAAGTATTTATCGATTTTCAAAGTAAAGCATGTCGGATAGTTCTATTTTTTATTTTTTTGGTATTATTCCTGAACAAAAGCAAGTACTTCGTAGATAATAAATTTTATACGCAAACAAAGCTTACAAATCTGTGCAGTTTTGCAGAAGATCCCTTGATGATTCTAATCACTTCTGTATGTAATGTTACAGCCATACTAGGTATCAATGGTCCGCAATATAATATGTAAATACCTTGGAACAGAAAGTTTCTGGTTGGCTATATCATATAAAAGGAATAGTCCCAAAAGTATTGAAAGTTCTGCTCTGAATATGATTATGGCTGCTGCCGACGACCAAATAAATGTTACATGATTTTGTTTTAACCATCCGTATAATGCCAGCAATACTACAAATTTACTTTATTAAAATCCAATAGTTTAATCCTTTTTAATGATATTATTTAATAACTTAAATTAATAATATAATTACCTAGAGGCATGGCCATTATATTTGGCAAAGGTCTGCTAAGATAATACATGAAATGGTATTGTGTTACCGTAATAGCCACAAACCAATTGGTGAATTTAGTACCAAAGACATTTTCTAATGCATTTCTATAGAGTTTCAATGCACCTATTACTAACAAACCCAAAGTAGCTCTTACTGCAAGAAATTAAAAAAAGATATTGTCTCTTAATTAATATATCAAAAATAAAAAAGCTCATTTGAAATCTTTAAATGATCATTCCTGAGAAAATAACTTACCTACGTATTGTGCAAGAAATTTATTAATATTAAAATATTTAATCGCTGCCACAAAGGGATAAGCAAGACTGGATATTGCAATAGGTCCAAGAAAAGTACGTGGTACAACTCCAGGAAATTCATGATGATCATACTATTAAAGTAAAAGTTTTATTAATTTATAATAAAATAATTTATAAATAGAAATCAAATAAATAAGAAAAATCCCTCTAAGATTTAGGAAAAACAAATTATTAATATTATCAATATATTTATATATGATTAAATTATTATTATTATATTTATATAAAATAAAAGAGGTATGTGTATATATATATGCATCTACATCTCGAATAACAGGTGCATAAATGCAACGGTAGGTCAGCTGATTATAAGATTATAAATACGCGCATCTCGTGCTAAATATAATACCGTAGCTTTTGCGTAATATCGATTCGTCCGTGTTCGACAACCTGTCAACTAAGATAAATAGTCTCTCGTCGAAATTAACTACAAATTTTTGGATATTTAAAAAGAGTTTTTTTAATACCAGAATAATGGAAAATCAATATTAATTACCTCGGATAAATTAAAGCCATGATACAATAAGTCGTGCGTAGCTTGCAGATTAAAACTTTCCTCGACTTTGGTAAATGGACAGTACAATAAATGTATCATTGCCACTAGAATAATTAAATGATCCATGATATCGTAGTTCTACATTTACAATTAATTCCAATGAGATTGAACGATTCCTT